AGGGTGTCCATCTGCCAGGTTCTTGCTGAAATTGAGAACTAGTGTCCTGACGTCTCTGCCTAGGGAGGCCGCTCCTTCCAAACCCTTCTCTTCCCAATTGGCAATCTTCTGGCTGATCCCTGAGACAAGTTCAAGGACTTCATCACCTGTGGACTTGATCTGTGCTGTGCGCGATGTCACTGCAGCAGTGATATGGTTGTGGAGTTCGAGGCTCAGTTGGCTCTGGGGGGGGTCATGGGTGGGGGATGCCGGGGGGGTGTCCTGCGCTGGCAGTGGGCCCGTGTATTGGTTCTCAGGGGCTAGGCTAGGAAAGTGTTGAGCCTGCTGTGGTGTCTCTGGTCCTATCTGTACTGGTTGATGGGCGGGGTCGAGGGGAGGCACAGTCGGGGTCTCATGGGCCTCTGAGGCCTCGCGCATGATGGCGTCCGCCACTCCATTGGGCAGGTTGGGTCCTTTTTCCTTTCGCAGTTTAGTAGAGCGCAGGCGATAATGCGCCTGGGTAGCGGGGGCAATTCTTTTCTTGATGCCCGTGGTGCTCATTGTGTAAGCGTGAATCGGTTTAGATAGCCAAGCACTCATTCCATCATATTCCTAAGTACGGTCACGTGGGTTCGTGTTTCATGGACGCGCCCTCGGGTCTTGCCCTTCGCGTCATGCTTGCTCTCACACCCCTCCTTCTGTATCACTCATGGAGAATTTCTGCCAGTTCCTGACTCTTAATATGCCGTCGCAATTTGAATCCTGCCTGTGTTAACGCGTGAGAATCTCTTCTGACGCGATGTACGAAGTGAACGCTGTGACCGCAGCAATTTCCGACTGGTTAGGACGGGGAAATGGGGTTCAAATTCTCCTTTCTGTGTGATTTACTCTCGAATCTAGATAATACTCGAGTCGTGAAAGCTTCCACCGCAGCCAAGAATAGCGACTTAGATATCAAAGTCGTGACCAGGTGGTTCGCCCAGCATGAAAAGCGAATCCACCACAAAGACACGGACCAGCGGGCCCTGCTCTCTTGCCTGTTCCCCGAGAAGCTTCCGGAAAGGGTCTATTGGCTACAACATACGTCGCTAGCACGAGTGATTGGTCGCTGTCTTCTACTCGGGATGTCGCGAAGAGAGGAACTCGAACGCTGGCGGGTATCCGGTGGAGTGGACTTGGGAGAATGCGTGGAGAATGTGATGCGACAGGCGGAGAACCATATCTGTGATGGACAAGAGGTCACTGTGGAAGAGATAGACACGGTGCTGATACGGCTCGCCTCGCGATGCAAGTTCTCGGGTTCTCGAGTACGGAGACAGCATACCGCAGTTGACGTGGAAAAGTGTCTTGGTCCTCTATATCGGCGGATGAGTAGCAGGGACGCGAAATGGCTCACACGAATGATACTGAAGAGCTTTTCTCCGGTTATGCTGCCGGTGAATTATATTCTGAGGAAGTTCCATTTCTTGCTTCCGTCTCTGTTTCTTTTCCAGGACTCCTTCGATTCTGCGTTGGACACGCTAGCCTCCGAGAAGATTAGTCGGTTTCCCCCTCATCCTGAGCCAGGGCTGGCACAAGACCTTGCTGCCATAACCCTGGACTGTCTGAATCCAAAGATGGGAGTTAAGATAGGGCGGCCAGACTACTACAAAGCTCGAAGTATCAAACACTGCTGTCGAATGGTAGACCGACGGAGGATGAGCATAGAAAGGAAGTATGATGGGGAGTACTGCCAAATACATATCGATCTCTCGAAGCATCCGAATATCCAAATCTTTTCGAAGAGTGGCAAAGATTCTACTATGGATAGATCGGGCATTCACGAAGCTCTCCGGGACGCATTGAGAATAGGAAGCCCTAAGTGCAAGTTTTCCAAACGCTGCATCTTAGAAGGTGAATTGCTTATCTGGAGCGACAAACATGGTAGGATCATGAATTTCCATAAATTGCGTAAATTCATATCGCGGTCTGGGACCTTCATTGGGACGGAAAATGACTCTCTGTATGCCAACCCCTACACAATGCGAAGCCCTATATCTGACCTACCTAGGCCCCAACCTTACGAACACCTAATGGTCGTATTCTTCGATATCCTGGCTCTAGACGATGACGTTTGCCTGAAAAAAGTGCACCGACAGAGGAGGCTTTTGCTGAAAGATGTAGTACAGCCTATCCACGGACGCGCCGATATTTCAGAACAGCAAATCCTGGATTTCTCCCGACCTGACAGTCCGTATCGGCTTGAAAGGATCTTCGCAAAGGGTATCGTACAGCTATGGGAGGGATTCGTGTTAAAAGGATGTGAAGATCCCTACTTCTCTATCTTCCCCAGCAACACAAATGGCACCTTTGGTCGATGGATCAAGCTTAAGAAGGATTACATACCAGGGCTGGGTGACACATTGGACCTTGCACTGATAGGCGCAAAATATGAACCTCGAGATGTCAATGCGCTAAAACGGATTCCTAAGCTCCTGTGGACGCACTTTTTCATCGGCTGTCTACTCAATAAAAATGCCGTCTTACAACTTGGAGCTACGCCTCAATTTCGGGTCGTTGATGTTATCGACCACCACTGCATGAGTTTACAAAATATGCAGATTCTAAATCAATTTGGCGAGTTCGTCGCTTGTGACCCGGTTTCCAACCCTGACTCCAAATTCGAATACGAGAGAGCGAACCTTCCATCTATGGGTGTAATGTTCAGGACACCTTTTGTTGTTGAAATGCTGGGGAGCGGCTTTGAAAAGCCCTCAGGGGCCAGGTATTTCGCGCTGAGATTTCCTCGCATATTAAAAGTTCATTGGGATAGGACGTTCCAGGATGCGACGTCGTTTCAGGAACTGCAGCAGATGGCAGAAAAAGCGCGGTCAGTTACTGCGGAGGATGATTCGTCCCAAGAGCATTGGTGCAAACGTTTGAAGCTGGCGAACGGAGCATGCCAGTATATCAACCGTGAATCGCAGAACATGTTGTCTGAGTCTGGCTCGACATCTGAATCGGATGATGAAGGTTCTGTTGAAACTACCAACAGCACTGCTATGCTCCCTACTCCCCCGTGCACCCACGAATCGGGCACAGCAATAACCAATGATCATGGAAATCCCATCCAAATATACATGGATAATACGGCTGGAACCACTTCATCAACCAGCGTGTCAGGCCTACGTGGAAATCCTTTGACTGAGAACCCCAACCAGTCGTCTTACCAAAAAGCACGACCACGAAAAGACAACATACGTCCTGATAAATTGGCAGCTTCCGTGTACATCAATGATATAGAAGGGAATGTTACTACAAAAAGTCACAATGCAAAGGTTCCAGCTGCTCCCCGTCCCTTGAAAACTAATGTCGATGGGGCTTCTACAAATAAAACCGGATACCCTACCCCAACATCAGCTTCTTCTACTACTAGAGGGCAGCAATTCGACCTCAAATCACCTCTCCTAACGCTCCCGCAGTATCTATGCCCTTCTTCAACCTCCGACGAATACCATCCCACAAACGCAACTCGCAGTCCAGACGACCTCCTGCAGGCAATGACCTACCATCCACGCACTACCTCCCAAAACCAATCTCTAGGCCTAGTCCTAATCCCCCAACCATCTACCCTGGGCCTAGAGATCCTCAATATCATCAAGTCCCTTTCTCAATCACCTAGGACCGTCCTCAAGTTCCCACCAACCGGCAAAATCTTCTTCCTCGACTCAAAGGTCCTAAACTTGGGCACTGGACCGGAAGATACACGATTCTGTCTTCGCGCAACCTGGGAGAATATCAGCAATGCGTACTTCTATGCATGCGTCTCGTGGAGTACTGCCACTGCCATTGCGGTCACAACGGCACAACCTGTACGCTGGCGATCGAGTGCGATTGCGGATGAGATTCCTTGTACTAATCCTGATGATGATATCACACCGACTTGTTTGCCTATCTTGGGTCAGACGAAAGGGTTCAATATCTCTGTTGGTTTTGAGAAAGAAGAGTTGTGCTGCTTGGGGGAATTTGTGTTGATTGAACCGTTGGTGCATGTTAATGGGCAAACGTATACATCTGAATGTGATTAGAAAGTCGCTTGCTGAAACAACTCCAAAGCTGTATGGCTTCATTGCTAGTATAATGTAGCTTTGTGGAATAGGAAATGAAAACTCAAACGTTTCATGCTCTTCGACTTTACATGCTCTTATGGTAAGGAAAAAAGAACAGTATTCATAATGTCATACAGGTGTATCATGCAAATAAATCACACGCTCAGCTCATCTATAACTCATGAACAAGAAAAAAAGATTACCCAGCAGACCCCGCCCCCTCCCTCCTAGCCCTAACATCCCTCATCAAAGCCTTAGCCTCCTCAACCTCAACCCCATCCTGACACAACTCCCCCGCCAACTGATCCGCCCTCTCAAGATCCCCATTCCGCAGCGCCCACCTAGCAAGCCACAGCCTCGCCTTCGATGTCGTCGCCGTAACACCAGTCCCATGCCATGTATCTTCATCGTCGTCATTCGGAGGGGATTTTCGAGGTCGTCGAGACCGATGCTGGGAATCGTCATTATCGTCGTCGTCGTTGTCGGATGATCCTTCCTCCTCGCCTTCGGGATTTGGAGGGCCGGATTCTTGTTGGAGAGTTAGTTCCATGTAAGCGGCTGCTTCTTCGGGCTCTTCGAGGCGTTCGTAGAGCATCGCGATTTGGTGGAGGGTTTCTGGGTCTAGGATTTTGCGGCCGGGGCCGGGGGGCATGCCGCTTAGTTGTGATGAGGCGTCGTCGGAGGCGTAGTAAGATCCCGCAACGAGTGCGCGTTTCAATGCCTTGATGCCCTGCTCGGGGCGCTCCATTTTGGCATAGCAGGATCCCACTGCTTGCCACATCTTGGGGTCGTAGGGTCGTAGGGCTGCGGCGCGTTGGTAGTAGAAGAGGGCGTAGAAGGACATGTCTAGGACTTCGTAGGCCTGGCCTAGACCGTACCAGGCGCGGTAGTCTTTGCGGTTGACGTCGACGGCTCGACGGTAGGATTCGATTGCGGCGTGGGTGTTTTTCATTTCGACGTATTCGTGGCCCATGAGGGTCCATGCGGAGAGGAAGTTGCGGTCTAGTGTTAGGGCGCGTCGGAAGTACATGACTGCTTTCTCGTGCTCTGATTTCAGGGAGTAGTAATTTCCGACGACGCAGCAGGTTTCGGGGCGGAATTTGTCGGTTGCGGTTGCGACTTGGGCGACGAAGGCAAGTTGGGGACGCGCGCCCATGACGTAAAGAATGTTGGAGTAGTGGTCGAGGCTGTCGAGGCGATGAGGGGAGGAGATCAATATTTCGGTGAAGATATGTGATGCTTCTTCGAAGTCTGCAGGAACAATCAGCAAAGCGAAATTCGACGCTCTCACCAAGTAACCTACACTTAGAGTGATAGTAGAGTAATGCCCGTTGCGTTTTGAGGAATGCACTTGTCGGGAAGATGGTTTCGAGTTCTGATAAGGCTTGGTAGGTATCGTCGGTTGCTTGGTACAGCTCCTGGCTGCAATAAACATGGAATATCAATGTCATGATGTTCTGAGGAAGGAGGTCGACGACTTGTTTTAACTGTCCGGATGTTAGCTTCAGCCCAACGGAACGCAATGCAAAGTAACATACATCTTCCGTACTCGTAAGCAAGTCATTCAACTCTTGCCAGGCGCCCCAATGGAATGGGTTCAAGTGCACACTCTTTATGAGCCACTTCTTCGCCTCCTCTTCATTCCGCCCTTTCAGAAGAATCACGCCATACAAGTATTCCAGCCATCCTTGATTGCGACCTTCCATGCCCTTCTCCCTCCGTTCCATCAACCATCCTTCCAGCCCACGCGCCAGGTCTGGCAACTCTCGGTTGGCCGCCAGACCTCCATCAGCAGGGCCTAGGACCATTTCCGTTTCCTCATCTTTCCGCTTCTCACCCGAAATGTATTTGGCATATAACGCAAGGAACAACGACTTCTGGCTCAGCGCCGGGTACGGGTTTCTCGTCGAGGTACCCTCTTTCACCCCTCCAAATGCAGACATTCGCGACTTTCCTTTCTGCGGTGTCAACGGCTGTTTCGATTTGGAGTTCGGCGATGTAGTCGAAATAGGAACCGGGGGCATAGTCGGAGGAAGGAAAACGGCTGCGCAGCGGTCATACTCGCGCGTATCGAAGTAGGTCTTTGCGAGGAGGTACTTGTGGGCTTCTTGCGCTTCCAATCTGGCTTCGAGAGGGTCCTGAGGTCGGAGGTATGGGTTCGATGGCATGGGCAGGGCATCTGCAAGACCCATTGGTGAGTCGGGATCGGTGTCGTATTCATTGATTGGTAGGAGAGAATCGAGCATTTCTGCGGCCCTGCCGCCACGATGCATGTCAGTCGAGATATGAAGGCGGGGGCATCATGCATTGTACGTACCATTTTGCAGACTGGTATAAGCATCGTTCTGAGCACTTGATGGAAGCGTCCTCCAGGCGGTACCTGAGGTCTCTGATGTTATCTTCCGTGAAACCGGCGGCCATGATGTCGGATGTCGGAGACGCGGCGGAGGTTTGCGCGAGATAAAGATAGCAGGTGTGTATCACAGATAGAGTCGATCAAGTGCCAGTCTCATATCCTTATCACAGACATTCAACGGGGTCTCAAGGATCAATTGCAGGCTGAACTGTTTGCGCTCAAGATGAACTGCAGGTAAGTGTCGGCACCTCACCGCGGTGCGACCCCAACAGTAGTGAGAAGTGCTGCAGTGGTGCAGAGAACCTGGCAAAAGATATCGTAGTTCCACAGCACAATCTAAGCAGATAAGGAGTGTCAGGACGTGCTGCTTGAAGTGAGAAGAGGCGAATAAATGTAACGCGATGAGAAGATGCGATGGAATTGACGGATTGCCATTTCGGGATGGGGGCAACAAAACAAACAGTGCAAACATTCCGGGGGGCATTTTTCTCCTTAACACTGGCTATTATCTCTCGATATTCCCTTGTCTGTCCATATACTGCAAAAGCAGCTATTGTTTGTGCCATTCGGTCTGGGCGTGCATTCTGAAAGAACATTAATTAACATACCCCTGCCAAGTCACCATGGCGTCCACCACCTCTCGCGAATCGTTCGAGTCCGTGTTTCCCTCCTTGGTCCAGGACCTCTTGGCCCACGCGAAGAAGTACAACTTGCCCGAGAACGCCGTTCAATGGTTTGAGAAGGTGAGCATACAATGCGACAACACCACCCAAAGAAACAATGGCTTGCTGACAGTGTGATCTCTCCTGGTAGGCCATCAATGTCAACGTCCCCGGTGGAAAGCTTAACCGTGGTCTCTCCGTCCCCGACACCGGTCTGGCTCTCCTGCAGCAGCCTCTCAACGATGAACAATTCAAACACCTCAGCACTCTGGGCTGGCTCACCGAGCTGCTCCAGGCGTTCTTCCTGGTCAGTGATGACATGATGGACGGCTCCATCACCCGTCGTGGTCAGCCCTGTTGGTACCGCCAGGACAGAGTGGGCATGATCGCCATCAACGATGCCTTCATGCTCGAGTCCGGAATCTATGTCATCCTGAAGAAGCACTTCCGCTCTCATCCCGCCTACGTCGACCTCATCGAGTTGTTCCACGAGATCACCTGGCAGACCGAATTGGGCCAGCTGTGCGATCTGATCACCGCTCCCGAAGACCAGGTCAACCTCGACAACTTCTCCCTGGAGAAGTATATGTTCATTGTCACCTACAAGACCGCCTACTACAGCTTCTACCTCCCCGTCGCTCTGGCCCTCCACTACCTTCAGCTCGCGACCCCCGAGAACCTCCAACAGGCCCACGACATCCTCATCCCCTTGGGCCAGTACTTCCAGGTCCAGGACGACTACCTCGATGCCTATGGTGACCCGGCCTTCATTGGCAAGATCGGAACCGATATCCAGGACAACAAGTGCTCATGGATGATCAACCAGACCCTTCAGCGCTGCAACCCTGAGCAGCGCAAGATGCTCGACTCCGCCTACGGCCGCAAGGACGCTGAGCAGGAGGCCAAGGTCAAGGCTCTCTACAGGGAGCTCGACATTGAGAATGTCTACAAGGAGTACGAGGAGAAGACTGTCGGAGAGATCCGCACCAAGATTGCTGCCATTGACGAGTCCTCTGGTCTGAAGAAGGAGGTCTTCGAGTCGTTCTTGAGCAAGATCTACAAGCGCAGCAAGTAAACATATAGAAGTGATACCTGTGTTTATCTAGCGATAGTACTTTCTTTTGTTTATATCATGTCGAATACCTATTTAATTGAATAGACTGGCAAAATATGCCTGTGTATATACTGTTTGGGCTAAGTACCAATTCAGAGATTCCATATCAAAGTATCCATGTCAGCATCTTCAGCGTAACACGGAAGGAAATACATAGGAGGCAAACTCCACTCTCTCCTTTTACGGCCAAGATCACCGATTGTTTTCCGTTTTCACTTTCGCTGAATTCCCCATGTCTTCTCTGGCATTATTATTGCAAATTACAAGTACCTACAGAGTACTCCATACACATGAAGCAAAAGACTCACCCTCTTGAACACTTGATGAATCCAATCCGCAACTCGTAAAGTGCCAGTGCCAGCCTTACAGGGCTCCACAGAGCATGTCGATCCATCGCGTGCTCACCAAAAGCCATCGATCATCCTGAACAAAACACTTAAAACCTCCCTCGCAATTGACCGATCGATGCCAGTCTTCACCCCACCATGCCTACCTGGCTATCCTCGCTCCAAATAATCCTCACCTTAACGCTTGCAACCTTTACAAGCGCAGACTTCGGTCCCCGAAACCAATCGACCGATCACGATAACGGCCTCCTTGGTACCTTTCCGACGGAAACCTACCGCTCCTCGCCCTTGATTGGTCCATCCCTGAATTATATCCAGGACAGTTTGCTCTGCCACGATGGGTTGTATACGTTGCTCGCGCCGCGGGGGAGCGATGTGCGGACTCCGGGGCCGATGGTAATTGATAGCGATGGGCATTTGGTCTGGACAAACACCGGCTATGGGAATACGCATGCAGTTGGAGTGTATAAGCTCAAGGGGGAGGGGTATTTGGGATTTGGGATGGAGAATAATGGGTTGAAGGGGTTTGGGGATGGGGTATATTACCTGGTGGGTTTCCCCGATAACAAATGGAAACGGGTTGATGCTGATGTTTACGGTAGCTCGACTCATCTTACGAAAAAGCGTATACGATCAAAGGCGCCCATGGATTCCCCGTTGATCTACGTGAATTCCATATCACTCGCGACGAAACCGCAGTCATCACGGCATATCAGATCAAAACCGCTGATTTACGGTTCGTTGGCGGCCCCCAAGACGGTCGAATCTACGATAGCATCGTACAAGAAATCAACATCGAGACTGGGAAACTGCTCTTCCAATGGCGGGCTTCAGAACATGTCGATATCACCCAGGTACCACGTACCCTGGACACAGAAGCAGGGACCTACATCGATCATGAAGGGCAGCAAGCGTGGGATTTCTTCCACATCAACAGCATCGATAAGGACAGCAAGGGCAACTTTCTCGTTTCGTCCTCTTCGGCCAATGCCCTGAGCTACATTGACGGCAGTACTAAGAAGATCCTCTGGAATCTGGGCGGCCAAAACAACAGCTTCAATGATCTATCCGGTGGTATAGCTACTCAATTCAGCGGCCAACACCACGCACGCTTCTACGATGATAATACGATCACCCTCTTCGACAATAATGCCAATACCGTTGACGGTCCCAGTCGAGGCCTCTACCTCACCGTCGACTACGACCAAATGACAGTCTCCCTCCTCCACACCTACACACCATCCACCAACGTCCATAGCCCATCAGGCGGCTCCCTCCAACTCCTCCCAACCGGCAACATCCTCCAAAACTACGGCCAAATCCCCGCCTGGACCGAATTCAGCATCAACGGCGACACCCTCTGCCAAATCCATTTCGGCGCCGCAGCATCCTTCAACTCAAGCAAAGTCCTCTCAGACCGCATCGTCAAAGGCCCCTGGACCGGCCTCCCAAAAACAAGCCCCGACATCGCCCTATACGGCTACGAAGCCGCAGTATCCTGGAACGGCGCAACAACTGTAGCAACCTACATTCTCGAAGGAACCAACGATCCAGAACTAGATATGAAACAAGCCATCTACACCCGCGACCACCCACCACCCACCGACTTGAATGACAAGAACAAACCACCCGAGTTCACCTTTTTATCCGCAACGCCCAAATCCGGCTTCGAAACTATCCTCCCCCTCCCCAACACTTTTCCCGCAAAGACTTATCTGCGCATCCGCGCGTTGGATAAATACGGCCACATCATCGGCATAACAAAACTCACGCACTGGGATCCAGACGCCGGTCAGCCAATCGTTGGCATTGGCGGTCCTGCAATCCCAGGACCAGATCTCCGACCCGTCGGCTACTTCCTAGGCGGCTTTTCAGTTGCCGTTGTTCTTGCTGTGGGTGTTTGGTTAATGAGGCGTCGGATTGCGGCGAGGAGGGTTTATGGGCGTTTACAGAAATGTAGAGGCGGTTATGGCGGTGTTGATGGTGATGATAGCGACGATGATGGGGATAGTGAGAGGGGTGGATATGGGTATGGTGGGGGGTGGGATGATGGGGATGAGGAGTTGAGTGATGGGGAGTTGATTGATGCGGTTGAGTTTTCGTTGCTTGGGGGGAAGGCGTTGAAGGCTAGGGGGGTTAGGGGGTTGGAGGATAGTGATGATAGTGATGAAGAGATGGGGAAGGTTTAATTTTAATAGATTTGGATATTTTAGACTTGGATAATGCATAATAGTAATGTTGATATGAACATCCTACAGATGACCAGGATAGCGTACGCCTACGAGTATGGTTCAGAGAAATCAAGGCCAGATAAGATTTTTTTTTTTTTTTTTTTTTTAATTTATTTCGTCATCACTAACCTAACGAGCGAACATTCCACGGAGTAGCTTATAAGAATACCGCTAGCATTTAAGCGGCAGCAACCTCCAACCGCTTAAACCCACCCTCAGAAGCAACCTCCTTCTGCAACTCAACCATCCGCTTCTGGTCACCACAAGGATCAACCGAGTCAGGCTCCAAAGCCCAACCCAAGTACTCATTGGTGTAGTTACCCACGAAGCTAGGATCCAAGATCCCCAGACGCTTGCCGTAGTTGGTAACCTTGTTCCAGTCCCGGTTAACATTCTTCATGTCCGGACTGAAGTACGCGTACGAGCGCTCAAAGATCTTCCTGTTAACAGGCGATCCCATGATCGGCTTGACATCGATGTATTCCTCATACGCCTTGAGCGGCTCCGCGAGGACGTAGTCCGTAGCGCGCTTGACAGCGGCAAGGAACTTGCGGACCTTCTCGGGGTTCGCGGCGAGGAAGGCGTCGTTGGCGATGTAGAGGATTGTGCAGAAGCAGCAGCAGCCGAGTTCGGCGAGCTCGTCGATGCGGAGCATTTGGACGTCGTCGCGGGGACGGTTCTGGGTCGCGAGCCATTCGGCGAGTTCGACCATTTGTACGTTCTCCAGGCCGATGCCGGCGTCGATGTCGCCGCGGATGATGGCCTTGGTGACGTTCATGCCGCAGCGGACGGCGGTGTAGTCGTCAGTGGTCATGCCGTAGTGTTTGGTGAGTTCGTCGATTTGGATCTGTCACGGCATTAGAAAATGAATAGCATTCGGTGATGGGGGTGTAACAAACCTTTCCGAACTCGCCAACGTATCCAATCTTCTTACCCTTCAAGGAGCGGAAGTCCTCGGTGATTCCGCTGTTCTTGAGGTAGACGATACCAGTGAAGGGCTCGTCGAGCAACGAACCGATCGAGGTGACGGGGAAGTCACGGGCTTTGGCCTGCATCCTGTTAGCTATATCCCGATGAACCTTCCCGGCAGTGAACGCACAGCAAGAGTATGAATCATAGCCTTGAAACCCATATCGACCTTTCCGCTACCGATGATCTCAGTGACATCGGAGGGGTCGTTGGGCTCAAGGAGAGCAACCTTGAGGCCCTCATCCTTGAAGTAACCCTTGGACTGAGCGAGATACAGGGGGGCGTGGTACGGCGTAGCGTGCCTTTACAAGTTAGTAATATCCTTGATAGACTTAAGGCCTTGCAATTGCTACCAGTTGGTGAGGAAAGTGATCTTGTCGGTAGACATCTTGGTCAAGTATCACGAAGCAATTGCAAGTCTGCGACGAGTCAGCATTACAAGCACTGAATCTCTCTTCCGTGTTACCGGAAAAGAGATCAGGGAGTCAAGCCACGCATGTCCTTTCGCTGGTATTATCCAGATCAAGTTATGACAGTATAATCTCAGAACGACGGTATCCGAGCCATCTTTGTGGTCTCTATAGAGAGTCTATGACTAGAGAGAGATACACATGGCTCGAACAAACCGACGAACACCTGTCACGCGTTGCATTGACGTTATACTTGTACGATACCTTGACCCGAGTCCACCCAGGAAAAGACCATTCTGACTGCGCAGCTCATGGTGCCGTACCGAAGAGTGCGAGCGATTTAGTTGGGTACGATAAAACGAGAAGAAGAATTCGTTGAAATGGAAGAGAGGAAGAGAAGAAGAGAGGGAGAATAGAGGCGGCAGAGGAGGGGTATTTATGCCCCTCCGAGAGCGGGGTGGTGCTCTCCGGTGAAGTCATGATCAACACTCAACGTTTCCCACCGGTTCCTATCGGAGCTGTCATGCGCCAATTGACTGTCAGAGAACAATTTGTTTGACATGACCTTTCGATTTGTGTGAGACTATTAGGGCTCTCGCGGTACGCATTATGGTAGGTGGTGCGTCGATCTAAGCACCCATGGATCAAGAATGCGGTAGGAATGAAGTCAGAGCGGTATTTATATCTCGGTGTGCCTTATAGCTTGTACCATTTTAGATATGTATCTATGTATCACCATGGCAAGCTTCCTAGAAGAGCTCCCTCGTGCTATATTGTATCAGAAAATACCCATACCAAGGAGAAAAGCAATTTTTAGGAATCTTCGACCAAGCGTACGATAATCTCAAAAATGGCGCTGCAGACGCCGACAGAGGCCCAAAATCGTGATAGAGAAGTGGGAGCTTGAGGGCGATCAGCCTCATCGCACCCAGCAAGCCACTGTTTATAGGAGAAAGAACAACCGTGGATACGTGCGGGGCGGCCTGACCATCGAATTCGATAAATTGTGTTTGCGCGCCACCAGAATACCCAGGGAGAGAACTCTCGGGGGCAATTTGGTAGTGACAGGAGTTCTCGGACGCGTGATTCTCGACAGTCAATATTCTGCGTTCCTTTGCTCATGGTGGTCGAGTTGCTTCTGATGTGGCTAACTTACCGAGACATGTCAACCATTGAGATTCACACATACATGGGGTTCTTGATTGCTTCTATCTGGCAAGGGTCTAAAGGCGCTTGATATTGGGCAAGATTTGCAGCATCCAAACCTAGATATTAGACAGATACCGCTACTTGGGCTAAATCCGACATAATCGGAGTTAGGACTGATCTACAGACAGGCCATCCAGAAACAGTCACGAATGCAGCTATAGTGCTATCAATATCACATCCTATCCAATGCATTCTTTTCGTGTTGATGCGTTTTAGGAGTTAAGCGGAGTTAACGGAGTTTAAACCCATAAATAGAGCAATGTATACTCCTACATAGTAGACTCGGCATTGGGCATTTCTCTATAACAGACTACAAAATGACCGTGGAACAGAAATTGGTTTTGATTACTGGTATGCCATGCGCCCCCCCCCCCCCCTTATATCTGATATCCATTTGATTCTAATGGGACTGTCCAGGCGCCAACCAAGGTATTGGCTTCGAAACAGCCAAAAACCTCATCCTCTCCGGCAATTATCATGTTATCCTAGGCTCCCGTGATCCAGCTAAAGGAGCTGAATCCGCCAAAGCTCTACAGTCTCTCCCTGATATTAAAGGCACCGCCTCCTGGATCCAGATCGATGTCACCGACGACAAGTCCGTCGACGCGGCTGCTGCCGAGATAGTATCTCAACACGGAAAGCTCGATATTCTAGTCAACAATGCTGGAATTGTCTCCCTAGCCAGCCCAAACCGCGAGACATTCCGGAAAATCCTAGACGTCAACGTCGTCGGCGCCCTCAGCACAACCGAAGCCTTCCTGGACCTCCTCCGCAAGTCCTCCGAGAAACGGCTAGTGTTCGTGAGCTCCAGCACTGGTTCCATCACACATGCTGCGGATCCCAGCTCGCCTTACTACAGGCCCCTTGGGACTGAGTACCGCACGAGCAAGGCAGCTGTCAATATGCTGATGGTGATGTACCAGGCGAGACTGAAGGATGAGGGGTTCAAGGTGCTAGGAGCGGATCCGGGTTTGTGCGCTACAAAATTTACTGGGGATGTGGAGTCCTTGCGCAATAGGGGTGCCGCGGAGCCGGAGGATGGTGGCCGTAGAGTCGCGGTTGTGGTTAAGGGGGAGAAGGACGCGGATGTTGGGAGGGTGTTGGGGGATTATGGTGTTTCTCCTTTTTGAGCTACATTCTATTGACATCATAGTATTATCAAGATAGCCATGTCCCATTGAAAATTCCCCAACTACACATCAGCTGGACAACTAGTGAGCATCCCCAAAATAAGCCCCATGAGTCCCAAGCTTCAAAAGAAGCCTGCCAAGATAACCCATATTCTCCTCCAACCAATCCATCGCCAACTTGCGGGCATCGTCTTCAAGCACCTCCGGAGACTGACAGCACTTTGTATATTCTTCAAGATATCTCCCGTGCATACGCTTATAGCCGCATGCTCTCTTAAGTTCCTGGCTATTCGCAGCTTGTACCTTTATAATCGGGTCCTCATCGCTCATCGGAAGAAACCTGTTGCATTTGTATGCAGCACGGACTCTCAAAACTCCTTCCATGCGGACAGCCAGGTCTGTTAATACTGCCCCCCGTGGATGGGCAGCACTGTTGTTGAAAGGAATTGCAAACAGGACTACATCGCTCAGTTGCTTGTCCTCTATGTCCTGCATTATGTACGACTTGTGAGTCTGGCACCAGACACGCATAGTCTACAAAATTAGCATGGGCGATAAAAATGGAAGGGAATGTCGTACCTGTAACTCGTTCAGTATGTGCTCCATGGTATAGAAAATACCTCTCCTTGCGGCACTGTATACATTCAAAATTTAACTTGATAGCCCCTCTGGTCTATTTGAAAAGATGAAAAGAAGGTGCTATGCATCTTTATATGTTTTCGTCTTGTGGACAGGTTTGCTATATCGGACTTTTATTATAGCAAATGGAATGTTGCCGCACATAATGCATAATGTCGGTATCCGGCTCCTAGATTGCCTGCGTTTGACATGAATGGTCTTTAGAGATGTCGATAAGAAGAACTGTTTCTGATTATAATCAGCCTCCTGTTGATTCCACCATGTTGAATAAAAGGTCTCGACTGAGCCCTAATTACAGTCGTAGACACCTGAGGGGGAAAAACATGCAATGACCCAGGCTGGCTGTGATGTAGTACAACCAGTCAGATTGAGAAGGAAGTATTTCTGCACTGCCTGGATATTCCATGAACACAATGACAAGGGTTATCGGCATCTACGAATCATTAGCTTCCATTCCCTTTCTTTCCTTCTTAGTGACGCCAGCCGGCGCATACCTAGTAAACAACAAACCCCATGTATCGCACATAACCAGTTGGCTATTCCACCGCTCATTCAATCAAACACACTAACAGGCTCAGAATGTTCGCGTGTAGAGATCCATCTATGCTTATCTTTGGCTTCTTCACGGAGTCTATCCAGCTCCGATTTATTGAATTTCCCTTGACGTATTGACTCTCCTAATCGGTCCATCTCCATGCAGCTCCACCCAGACCTGACAGTCGCTGTTATTGCTGGCTCTCCGATTGCCTTGTATTCTTCCCAAGTGAGATGCTCGTAGAATCGACGACGACAGAAAATTACTATCAAATCGTCCGGTCCTTTTACGGCATCGACAAAAGCTATCTGGACTGTTGTTAGATTGGTTACTTTATAATAGAAGGAAATTATGGCTTGCCTCGTTTTGTGTGTTGTGGGTTATTGATCGTACCCGGCGTTTCATGTTATCGTGGATGGAGGACATGCTATTGCGGAGACCCATGATTGTATAATAGCGAATGAGGATGCAGAAATGCTTGATAAACTTGAAAGAAAAGTTTGTCCTATAGATAGTACGTGTAGGGCTTTTACTTATAATCTACAGCCCACCGATGATTCCAAATAAATTGCTTTCGCAGAGAACATAGAACCCTATGTCGTTCCGTCATGATTCAAATCCCATTCCCAAATTCTGTAATTCCTCTCCATAAGCAAACATACCGCGAGACATGTTTACATAGGAGATCCCGATCCATGCAAATGCATAAGATCGTAGCTCCCCGGCCGCCAAATGTATGCACGGGGCTCTTCCTTGTTGATGGCTCTGCTCACATATTGGGAAGCAAGATCCTTGTAATGTACCACGCAATTGTCCCTTGCGGCTACCCGCGCTCAGCATGTCGTGATAAGTGGAGCTCATAGTGATAGTAACCTCAACTCCAATCCTCATTCATCGAAGCGGCCTTTGTGCCACTGCCAAGCTGTCACTCAGACGGACACTGAACAAGCGCCTGTGGTGGAAGTCCCATGATCCCATGAATAGCATAAAAATCAAGGTAACCCCGTGTACTTCAGAGCGATGGGTCGCATATAGTTTTGAGTTGTACAGTTGGTGGTGGCGGTGGCGGTTGGTCAAGATCAGTGGGAATCAATGAAGAATGTTCTACCATACCGCACACAGCTCCATCTCAAAGTCAGTCATCAGTATCTTAGCATCGGAATTTCACGTCGAAGACCACCTAGGGTAATGCATGCAATCAATAGCAAACAACCATCACGTGAGATAGCGGGGTTGGGTAATAGTCCGACCTCTCCAAGAGCCTTGTTTGTCCGTATTTGTAGAATGAAATAACAGCAGATATTGCTTCAACAAAACTCTTAGTATACTGGTTCACGAATAACACTGCGAGCATCTCTCATTATGAGCGGCAACTACAACCCGGTAGACACATATATAACACAGAGTGAATTGGCATGTCATATCGATGTAGCATCGCCTTCTTACACTAACAACCTATAGATCGGGTTATGGAAGCCCCTCACTGTGCCGCCCTCTTATTTCGATGGCTGTGACAGGCATCCGATGAATTGGATCGCGCCGGAAAAAGAGGAAAGAAGGCTATTTTGTTTTGGATGTGAAGCAATCAAGTTCGTGAAAGGGTTGGGCACAACGATCTGGACTACATCTGGAGATGGAGAAATGGTTCTTCCTCCGGGTGTTGAAGTTTGGATACGCTACGGTAAATCAAAGATTATATGGTGACGGGTCATGCATGCAACAATCTAGCTATGTTGAAACCACCCATGAAACTGACACGCAAACGTATCATGCTGTTGTGAGGGGGGCTCCGCGATATATAAGCAGTAACACAATCTGTCATTTTATTCATTGAATTATGAAGCTCCCACTGGCGTAGTTGGCTCCCCTGGATTGTCTCGCAGGTTTGAGATCCGAAGATCGAACAAACAGCTGACACGCACGCCCCTCTGAGTGTAAGGCAGTCATTATCCACTAGTATGTAGTTAGCATAGGGGGCTTAGCAATATTGGCTGCAACTTACGGATATCCGTCCCTTGAGGAGCATACCACAGCCCAAATACCTCTTCCTGTGCCCTCGGGAACAGGCTAAGAATCAATTTACTGTTAAATCCAATGTCCAGGTAGACAGCCGCATCTCCAGCGCTTGCTTCAGGAAATTCCGATCTAACTGTCCGCGTTCTGGGCTCTGAAAACCCAGAAAATGTTAACTGCGCTCTCTCGATCACCCGCGTTGTGGAATTCTCTATGGCGGAGCAGACCCATTCGCCAAAAACATTCTTGATAGCATCTAAATTAGATGTGGCGAGCGTCCACGGGTTGTTCGTCGTAGCGGGCTCCCGGATCTGTGGAGTATCTTAATCACAGATTAGTTTGTTTCTCGGAAAATAAGAAATAGATATCTGACACAAACCTTGAGCGAAGAGAACTTTCCTTAACTTCTGTATATTTATTTCGTTACACACCCGAGCATTCCCAATCTCCTGTTCAATAATCGACTGCATAGTGTTATTTAGCTGAATCCTAGGCTGAGTGGCATGGATTTCAATATATTTCTCGAGCTTAATGCCTTCACAAGCCCGATTTGACACTGCTAAAAAGAAGGGAAGAAACATTGCCGGATGTTTTTCCAAAACTCTCATATAAGCATCCCTCGCATGCAACCTTCTGTGGTTCCTGTCATGTTCGGATCTTGAAGTGCGGACCTTCTGTGGGGCCTGGCGTTTCCAGCACAGTATCTGTAGCCGCTCTCTCAGGTCTTTTCGATAGAAGTCGGGTATTGTTTGGCTATGGATGAGGTCATTGTATGTCCGTATGAAGTATTCCAGTGTGGACCGCATCTTGGTTCCTTAGGGGTTTCAGAACAAGGACGGTATAGAGTCACGGAAATTTGAGCTATAGATGAGGCTGACAGCACATCAGATGAAAGTGGAGGGAAAGGAGGTTAGAAAGAGCTTGTTTCGACCTCCGGTAGGAGACGTTTATACTGGTAGGAGAAACTGGTCAAAACAGTAGTGTTATCCCGGTCATTTTGCAGGCAGATTATTTCTCTGTGTAAGCTTTAATGCATCTGCGCCAGTCAATTTGGCCATATACGACCAGATCAACTGCATTTCCTAAGCGACTTTTAACAAGTCATAGATAGTCAACATCGGATATACTGATTTGGAATCTCGAGAAAGGAACTTCTAGAAATACTTTAAAACCAGCCATTTGATGTTGGTTCAAATACAGCTGGTACTACTGCTGTATAAGCATTGGACGAGATACAGACAGGGAGCGAACAGAAATAAGCTCACTTGATAAAAATCCCGGCAACAAGAAACACCGTAGACAGCCCCCTTGGAATAATATTCTTCCCTCTGTCCTACACTTGATAAGACGCATTTGTCTTTATTGCTAGGTGTTTTTGCATCTCAACTTCGCATAGACCACAATGTGGACCTAACCGTCAACATCTGGTCGTGTTTAGTCTCGGGTGTAACCCCAATGGCGCCAGGTATCTGTGTTGGACTAACTAGTTTAGTCGGACAGCATATCGGCCTAGGAACATCATTGTCCATGGTTTTACTTAGAACCACATTCAGCCCAATGGCTACCAGGATTATCCAGGCTTGTATTTTGGGACCAGTCGATATGGAACATATGTGCTTCAATGCAGTCTGGGCATCTTTCTCGAGGGCTCGGAACGAATACCCAGTGGCGTCCATTATAAATGTGGCCAAATGCTCACATTTTATATCTGGTAAAAGCATGTTTAGCTTGCAGTTCAGAATAAAGCTTGATATTTAGATTATGAAGGACGAATGATGGTATGAAACCTGATTGGTGAAAACTGTACATATTATGTGACTGGAAAAAGCTGTCCCTTGCTCAACTCATGCGGCGGTTTGGCAACATCACCATCTTTATTCATTAGAAGCTTCACAGCCTGTCATGAATGATGTCGTTCGCCCAAGAAAATAAGACTTTGAGCGATTACTCCATGACAGCTATAACCAATGGTCATCTCATCTCAAAGATGCGCATGCTTTACCTCTACTTCCGCGTTGCTGTCTCTATCTAAAATGAATTGTAGGAAGAGCGCCGTCTTTTCGCGGATCCAACTTGCTTCCCGAAGGAGCCAATTTCGTGTTTACGTGCGTGGAAGATTAATCGGGAGAAGGGCCAGGTGTCCTACTAGCTAGCGGGCAGTCGGTCTGGACCGTATCCGGTGAATATTTTCATCTTGAGCCAAAACTCATACCATTAAATATACTTGTCGCTGTTTCCAGTCCGGTGACAGTAGAGGTATCTGATTCAGCACCTCTGGCAAGTTGGCCCGGAGTTGAGGGTCTCTCGGGATATGATGAAGGTAATTATCTGATGGTCTTGTTTCTTGCATGGGCGTATGTCCTTTCTGCACGGTGGGCGGAATCATTGGCGCATTCCCCGGAGCATTGTGCACGAAAACGTATAAAAGCAGGGGCTGTCAGTCTTCTACGGAGCACAACCCGCAACAGAAAATTGAGCTCTATCTAGGAAGCGATATCAGTGCCGAAGAAGCGAGTTGGTGGAATGCCATACTATCTCCTAGCAGAAGCTGGGAGATTACGACAGAATATAACCATAGATCATGCATGTCGCCTTGGTCTGTTCAGCTCTCAGATAAAGTACACATAAGCCTTGCAAAACACCCTTCACTCGAGAATCCTGAACCACCATCATCCGACATCGCTCTGGAGTGCCTGTCCAGATTCTGCTCTCGTCACCGTCTTCACGGTCAATGCTCCGCTTCTCTGGCCGCTGCGCTCTATATCCCCTTCCTTAATGGTAGATCGGTCACGCCTCCTCTTCCAACGCTAGTTTTGCGAGCTCAATCAGCCTCGACCTCCCAATGGGCACAGGTCTCAGACCTAATTTCAGAGCATGAAAGACTTCTTAGCTACTACATGACGCTGAGCTGCAATACATGGGGCATGCGGTCTTTGCTATGCAGCACATTTTTTGATGCGCGGGTCGAATGCAATCTCGTCAGCGCCTGTATCAACTCTGCATTTGTAGTAATAAATCTACTGGTTAAAGAAGAGAGTTTTATTATGCTCGCGAAGGTTCTGGCAAAACACGACCCAGAATTAGCTAGCCTGTGGTTCGGGGCGATACTTGTGGGAACAGCTAGGTCTATATTGCAAAATATCCGAATTGGACTGACAGCACTTGAGCTCAACGCATCTGCTTGGACGAGAATCGAACAATCGTTTATTACTGGGAAGCCAAATATCAGTGATGGAACCATGATCCGGAGGGAGGATGAATGTCGCTTACTACTCATGACTAGCAATGAGGAGCACGCTAGATTGCCAAACACGGCTTCACGATACGGAGCTTTCAGTACAGCTACACTCAAATTGTATCGGTCATTCTCTGAATTATCAGTATTGGGGTTGGTGTCTGAGAAATGGCGAGATGCTCAAAGACGCGGGCATGAACATTTCTGCTATTGAAGCTAATCCACCCACACGCGAATTGAACGATGCTCCCCCAGCACAACCTGACTGCGACCTGTCCTCTCAGTTAGTTTTAGAGTCTGCCACACGTGGAATATTCGAGTGGCTACGGTCAACGGGGTACCCAGTAAGCGAAAAATCTTTATATCAACATTCATGGATTGGTTGCGAGAGCTCGGAGGAAGATGATATTAAATCCGATATTGCTAAAGAATCTGCCTCTCTAACATTCGTCGACAAGTGGCTTAGTGGAACTATAGATTGAAGGCTCAATGTCAATCTCATGTCTTCTAAGTCATGCGGACCACCCGCGGGGTGTTGCTTACGGCTTGGACAAATGACACACTTTCCGAAAACTCTGGGACCCCACCTTGTCAGTCCTCATTTTCTATGAGACAAGAATAAACCTCCGATACAGAAGCTACAATCAGAGAAATGGTATAGACCAACGTATATACTGCATTCGAAGAGCGACTGCCCAACATATGTACTGTCATAAAAACATAAAACATCATATCAAAAGACACAAGACATCATAATCATCAAACTGAAGTTTTATCCAAAATCATAAGTCGTCACTGGCGAAGAAAGCCGCATTTACATGTTGCAGGCGAGGTTGTTGACGTTGGGGCCACCACATTGTTTCCCATCCGCGCACTGTAAAGAAGACTATAGTTAGCTTGGTGCTCCGATAGAAGCATAATCGACCTAGTTAGGAGTGTCACATACAGTGCCAACGTAGCAGTTACTAAATAGCGTTAGTACAAGGCAAACCGATAATCATCATGGTATAGAACTTACTAGTCCTTGCCATCGACCCGGCACTTGTCTCCAGCGCATTCCTGCAAGGGATTAGCTTCAGTGAGATTGGTCAGGGGGGTATTACTTCGAACGTACGGAGACAATGTTTCGAGATTCGAGGGTGCTGGATCCCACCGCGGAAGGGGCAGGGGCAGGTAAAGCAAAGGCAACACTGGCCATGAAGAGGACGGCGAGGCTGGTGAACTGCATTGTGAAGATTATGTTGTGCTTTGGTAAAGAAATTGGGAATCGAGAATTAAGAACAGTGATTGAACTAATGAAGATGTTGCTGATATTGTAGACCTCAACAGCGAGGCATTTGGGGGAGGTCTTATAGAATTCAAGATGAGTTATTTTTATGGGTTTCAATTATGCGTCCTTTGCGAGGGCATTCCTTCTTCCTTCTGAATGGGAAATACTACGTGTTCCCCGACCCTCATAGCACTCGTATGATGTCAAGAAGCGATGCTAAGCCATCTTACCAGCGTTATCATTGTGCCGATCCATAAGCACAGGCAACAACAGTCGAATCCCAACCTGACCCAACAACATCATTCGGTCATGACTCAACTTGTAGCATAGTAATCAATTAGTATATACAACAGTTATGCCTGTATCTAATAGAGGATACACAGCATACCAAGCGTCTGACTCGATCAGTAGCCGCCGCCAATGTAGCCCGAGCTTGTCCGCAGGGCTAACTAAAAGGCACATAATTTAGATAAGAATGTCAGCCTAGGAAATACAAGGATGCCCCAGAGAATCCAGTGCCGATCTTGACAGCAAAGAGCCGGTCCACTAACACTTGATCGAGGCTGTACCGTTTCTATTTCGGAAAGGTTTGTCGACCTTGGTGCCCGAGAAACCGGCTCTGAGCATCATGAATGGCTGATAAGGGCTAGCATGACATGTTAAGACTAATGGGGAAATGATCGTATAGGCTATGTTGTAGATCAACGCCTTCTCGGGTAACGTTAGGGCACTGTCTGCATTTCGCCCCCAGAAACATATATATGGATTGCGGCAATGAGTGACACATTTTCAACCACGGGGGCCCATATTTAAGGCTCTCGTGAGGCTCTCATGAGGCTCTGTGTAAGAAAATCCTGTATCTTATGAGCCCGTTGGCTCCGATTCGCGTAGTATAGTATTCCGTACCAAAGTGGAACTCCGTAAATGGTATGTGGTCCGGAATCTCCGGGCAAATTCTCAGCGAAGTGATCTCAAATCTCGGAGAGCCAATGATTCACCCATAATTACTTCGTATTTTGACGTCTTTGGATTCCACTAGGTAATTCTTCAAGTTCTTAGATCGAGGATCTTTAGCCAACGGACAAACTAAGGTTGCAAGTAGGTGTATACTATACAATTCAGTACATATAATTCAAACTACCACGTTTTGGAAGGCCTTATATCAGAAATTGATCATCTTTATGGAAGATCACAGTTCAAGTACGATAGTTGTTTTTTCTTGTCAACATGTCAATAAATCAAGCTTTCCCCCACAGTTCTCCGACCTTCAAGGCTGAATTACAAAAGTACCTTATAGTTGTTGATACCCGATTGGTACACATTTCAATACATGCTTCTACGTTTATGCATCTCGGTAATGCAAATAGTACCAAGGAGGAATCATTGCCGACAATTGTAATTCTCGCAGCAAATTCCAAAATTTGTAGACTTCGATACCGGGTCCGTCCGGATGTAGGTCAGATTTGGCATGTCGATGCTTATAGTTTTTTATCGCAGTGCCTCAGCAAAGCCTCAAAAAATGCGACTAATATGCAGTCAATGAGTCAATACGCTATTTTTTATGGGCCGATCCATATTAGCCCGATAATCATCTAACCAATGCCAGCCCAATGCCCCTCTCACATTTGGGGAAGAGGTATTGTTGGTCGACCATGTCAACATCGTTTCTTTATCGGACTACCACGATACACGAGTAATGTTGATAACACGAGAAGCGCAGAGTATCCTCAATTGGGCAGATGCGTGGGAGAGGCTGACATCTCGGTATGATCCTTCACGGTGTTTAACACGACAGCCTGGTCTATATAAACCCTCAAAGTCTCGCCGTTAAACAAAATCATTCTCAACAATATCCTCGAGCAATTCTCTTCCACTCATCTTTCTTCTTCTAAATCCAATCCTATCAATCAGCCAAGATGCGTGCCACCACTATTGTCTTCGCTCTCATGGCCAGCGTTGCCCTCGCTGGACCCGCAAGCCGCCCAGTCAAGGCCCGCCAGATGGAGGGTGTATGTTCTGAGATATTTCCCATTCCCCATTGAGTTCAAGCTAATATGACTCCATCAGGTCTGCAACGGTAGCAGTTGCAAGGTTGATAGTATCTCCTGGTAAGTTCCAAACCATGCCGAACTGAATCTATACCATACTAACAATGCTTGTACAGGGGGTGTAGCACCGGTAAAGTATGTGTTTCCTCTTGAACTCGCTTCCGAGACAATACATGGGCCCGTGAACTAACACCCAATGCAGTGCACTGCTCAGAGCGGTGCTGGTGATGGCGCCCCCTGCGGTGGCCCCGACTACGAGAGCATTAGCTGCCCCGGTAGCTAGATGCTGTGCAATGCCAGCTCCACTCGAAGATGTTCCCCTCTATGAGGAAATTACGAGACAATGATTTATACATTTGATGCTTAAGGACGCTACGGTGCGATGGTTTATGACGATGTTTTATGGTTTATGTGTTTATGTGTTTACTGCGCTTTTGTACAGAGTTCTTGGAGCATCATATACAAAATATCTCTCCTTGACCAATTTAAAGTTCTACGACTTATATAAGCCTTCCTCGTAGTTATGTTTGCTGCAGGTCTAAATGGATACCAAGTAGCAACATTCATAAAGCCTTTATGATTCGGTGAGGGCGCTTCCTGGTAATGATTGTAGTCTGGTGAGCATTGAGGACCGAACGAGCAGAAATTTGGTGAAGACACACTGACTCAACTTTAATTCTTCACTTACCACTAACGAGCATCCTTCGGAAAAGAGCCCGACGCATGTGTCACTTCGTCCGGTTGGCTGGAGTGAGAGCGAAGAAGATCATGTCAGGAATAGAATGGAGAGTCCTCGGATTATACCATTGTCTATATGCCAGAATAGCATTGTTTATTGTGATAGTATCTTCCAGTTAGTCGCTTCTCAAAGATATCACCAGAAACAAGGAGAAAGTGAGACTTGATTCTGATACTGTTAAGCCACTCACACTAAACCTGAACCCCAACCCCATGAGAAGAACGGCTGAGACATCACTCAATGCCCTGTCTCGGTGCAGGATCACACCAATGCCCCTCCACAACAACATTATCCTTATGATGCATGTGCCAATAAAGCACAGAAATGTCAGCCACAGGAGATATCAGACTTATCCATTGTCCTGGAGACTTGCAAAATGATATGACAGGCCGTATTTGGTCCCGTGTGTCAGAATCCCGGTCCGCATTAGCCCAATCCAAAAGGTGGGCGAACAGAAGCCGTCGAAATTGCGGGATCCTCCAGTTAATGTCTTCTTTATCCGGGGATGATGGTTAGCAAGGCCAGGATGGAGGTGTATAAAAGGCTGACGTTCCGGCGTCATGTCTTGACCATATTTACTCTCTCAAGAGTCATACTAAGACTCACAATGTCAACCTTCAACTTCCCCCGACACAAGCGCCAGTCGCTTGGATCCCGGTACAGACCCCTATCAGAGACCTCCCAGTTTCTTCTTCAAAATCTAGGCGGTTCTTCAGAGCCACTTCCCCAAAACTATCCTGTCCCACCCCCTCGTGTCGGAACCTTCGAAGACGACTATGTTCTATGCAATCGAGTCTCCGGTCTGATGGACGTCGACTATTTGCGTGACAGAGACTCCATTGGAAGCGACCTTTATTCGGAGCGCGGCTCTCTGTATGTAGTGAACTCCGGTATCGAGACCCAGTCTATCAACAGCGAGGGATCTGTCACTAGCGATATATCTATCGGAAGTGAGAGTGAGGCTGAACTCCCAGCATGCTTGACTCCGGGAAGAATTTCGAACGCGCAGCCTCCTTCCGATGCGTGCATGGGAATCCAGGATTTCATGGAAGAAGTGAGCCAGCACTGCGACAGTTACTTCGACGATAGTGGTGTCGATATTGCACCTGCTCCTTTGAGACCGAGAAAGCGCCAGAACAACAAGAAGCGTCCCCACAAGACCTATCGCGCCTTTAAAAAAACCAAATTTCACTTCGACGAACACGAGGCCGATGACCATTCCCATGAAAAGCGCGCGCAACCGGCCGTCGAAGAAGCAATTGAACAGCATCTGGCCCAATTGGAGCATCAAACCGCGGAACTCAGGGAGATGTTAACCGCCTGCGAATCCAAACTCTCCCAGATGACCGAACAGCTTGCACAGTCAAAGTCGGAGAAGCAAGTTGTGTCCTTCAAGTCATCCTTCGAACCGAAGACTGCGAAATATAATGCGCTCCCCGTGAAGGATAATCCCTTCCCGATAGTTGAGTACAAGAACGAGAGCCGTCGTCATGGAGATGCTTACATGGATTTCCTGCGTGTCGACTTTATGGATGCTGAGCAAGTCGATCTCTTGTCCTATGTGAATAATGCAGGCCTGAATGCGCAGCAACGTAGAGGTCGATTGCCGCGAGCTTGGGCTGCCTGACTAGATTGAGTAGGAGATTGGGAAGTGTCTTGATATAAATGTCTCTGCTTTCCTGCTTTGCTTTTCATATAACATGAAAAAGATATATATACTCATTGATGAGGCATGTTTGTCATATACGAAAATCTGCTATAGAAATCATGGAATAACCACAATCTTCCCCTGTGCCTCATCATTCTCCATACACCGATGAGCTTCTACAATCTCCCCCATCTTAAACACATGCCCAATCTTAACCCTCAACTTCCCTACATCCACCTGCCTGACCAAATCATCCAAAGGCATCTTCATAAACTGCTCATCCCCACCCCCATAAACCGTAAGCTTCGTCTCAGACGGAATCAACTCCATCGGATTCACATCCTTCAAATACCACTCATTCCCCACAATCCCAGCCATACAAACAGTTCCTCCTTTCCTCGCACACTTCAACGAATCCGCCAGCGTAACCGTTCCAACCAGCTCAAGCACCTTATCATACAGCCCTGCCGAGGAGGACGTCGACGATGCCTGCCGTATCTGCTCCCCAACAGCCCCATCATCAATCCAGACCTCATCCGCCCCGTTCTCTATTAGCATGTTCTCTCTCTCCTTCTTCCTCGTCGTCGCCCCAACAATAACCCCATGAGCCTTCGCAATCGCCGCCGCCGCAAGCCCAACACTCGACGTTCCACCACGAATCAACAACCTTTCTCCCTTCTTCAACTCCAGCGCCCACATTACCGATCCCCATGCCGTCTGCAACATCTCCGGCAACGCCCCAAGCACCTCCCAGCCTAGACTCGTCCTCGGTAACACCCTCACCTGCTTCGCCGGAATACAAGCATACTCCGCATATCCTCCATCAAACGCCCTCCCCATCCCGCCCATAGCCGTAGCCACAGAAGCGCCCTTCGGAAACTGATTCTCGAGACCAGGAGCTGTGGCGGCAATAGTGCCAACGGCTTCGATACCCAGGATGCGCGGGAATTGGACGGGGGAGTGGCCCTGGCGGGTGAACATTTCTGAGCGGTTGAGACCAAAGGCGCGGATGCAGATTAGGACTTCGTTTGTGCGGGGTTGGGGGATTGGTCGTTGGAGGAGTTTGAGGACGTTTGGGGGGCCTGGGTTGGATATGACGATGGCGTTCATGGTGGACATGTTGATGGTATTGGGCGGTTTTGGGTGGTTTTGGATTATTTGGGAAGATGGAAGGGAGACAACTTTCAAGTTACTGGATAGGATTATATAGGAGTAGAGGACAGTTGGCTATCAGTAATTTACTTATGCTCTAGAACATTGCAAACAATATTGTATCATAGAGGGGATTACTCTTTTCGGAAAGCCAAGTGTTTGCACTGTTTGTTTAACTAGTTTGTTTCGTTTGTTCAATTTGCCTCCTCGCCAGATCTAGAACACCAGCACATGAGCATCATTCTCCTTGTACATGGCATAAATCGAACAATTGCTCAAGACAATTCGGCTTCCTTCCATAACTCCACTGCCAACATGAATATTCCCTGATCTCTCACGGAGCCGCAAGCGTACCTTACGCTGAAGTCATTCCCCTGCCCGGATGCTCCACCATGACTTCATGATGCTGTCAGTAGCATCTACAACCAGGAATATGCAACCAGTCGATGCTATCATCAGTTCGAGTTTGGTGGTTATTTAGTTGCTGTCATTCTTCTTGTGATTCTGTTCAGATTCAACAACATCTTCAATTCTACAACAGTATCTCTATTGTCTAAAGACATATCTTAAGGTATGTTTGACTCTTCGGTTTTTTATTGACCAGCGACTAACATTACAGCTCTAGATCAATTCTACCTCAACCTCTACCAAAACACCTCAATCCAAACACAAACACACACCATGCCTCGCGGATCCGAATACGCCAACGCTCCCGTCCAAAGCGACAACGCCATTGAAGCTGGCGAAAACAAGGCCCACGGAACCTCTGGCGTACGTCCTCCCCTGTTACCAACCCCCCTCCCCCAATAAAAGAACCACAACTAACAAACGCACAGAGCACTGGCCTCAACCGCGTCAACAAGGTCGCTGAATTCCCCGAAGGCGCCAAGGGCACCGGTACCGCTAGCAACCCGCTCAGCGGCCAGGGCAGCGCCGGCCACGACGACGGAAAGGGTGGTCATGAGCCCAAGACTCTTGGGGAGAACAAGGGACTTGGTGCTCACAAGGCATGAATGAGTTATGATGTCGATTTGATGAGTTTTGCATGAGCTGGGCTCGTGACTTTGTAATTTGCATGGGACGGTCTAAGCATGCGCTATTGTTTCCGTTATGTTTATGATATGAAAGGGTCCTTAGGGTTGGAGTTGGAGTTGTTACTGAACTGATTATTTATACGGAATTGAAGTGAACAACTCAAAAAGTCTGTTCTTGTATATGCGTATGCGAAAGCATCTGCTGTAACATGAGATTCAAACCTGCGCAAAAATCCTTGATTATAGTAAAATATGTCCTAGATAACTCGGGCAAACAGTAGCCCCTGTACAAATGTTGAATTATCAGGATTGGTTGCTCGTCCCTAACTTTGAACCATCATCGCTCTTCTTGGGTGAATTGGACCTCTCCCTTGAGCCCGACTCGACGTTCTTCGCCTGAACCAGTTCCAGGAGACGCTTGCCCAATTCTCCGGATCCGTCGATCTTGTCCATCTTCGTGTGGAAGTATTCTGCGTCGCGTTGCATTCTACACCTATTAGCATGGATGAGATTGAATTTATGGAAATACGGAATACTTACCGTTGCTTCCCAGCCTCCGTCCGCAGATTTCTCTCTTCATACGCCTTCGTCCACTGATCACGGTAACTCCTAAACACGGGATCCATGATCATAGTAACAGTTATATCCGGGAGATTCTTGCTCAGAACACGATGAAGCGTTGCGGTTTCCTTAGTCAAAGTCTCCATGTATGCATTCGCACCGCTCAATGCGGAATCAGCATCCCAGTCGATCTTCTTCATCGCGTTGACGTGCACGTTAGAGCGAGCGCTCATAATGTCGACTAGTTTCTCATGGATGCCGGACTGGTGGTCTTGGTATAATCGCTTTACTTTGTCGAATTCGCCCATTAACGGGCTGGACGGTGCTTGGCGGCGGACAAACTCCCGGATGTATGGGACCAGGGCGATGATGAAGCTTAGAGATTGGGATGAGAGGGCGAGGTGCTTGGTCGTAATGTTCTTCAGTCCCGCGCTTCGGGTAGCTCCCGCGCCCAGGATTAGTTGTGATGACCGCGAGTTGAAGAGCTTGAGCGACTCCAAGAGGCCAGACGAGATGTCCTGGATCATGCTGGGGATGTTCGCCATGAGGAATTGAAAGCTCTCGATGCTTCGCATCATGGCGATGGCGGATTGTGACAAGATGTACTTCTGTTCGTCGATCAGGGCACTCCGCGCCTTTTCTTTGCCAGAGCCATTCACAGGTGGTGTGCCGTTCTCTGGCGTATCGTTCGTCTTGGCCGATAGCCAGATCTTCGAGGCATGTGTCCAAGGCTCAATATCCTTGGTACTTGCATCGAGTATACGACTCAAGACTGCATTTTCAGCATCACCAAAATCCTTAGCATCCCATCGGTCCGCGTCCATCACCTCAACAAGGCTATGTCGCTGGTTCTCACCGAACCGTGTGACGTAGTCCCGGATCTGGTTGCCCACGACGGTTTTCAAGGTAGTGCCGCTTCTCCCGGAGATCGCCTCGCATTCATCTGCGAAGAGCCGGTTCAAGGTGAAGTATTTCAGGAAATCCTCCTTGGCGAGCTGAGAGGTCTGTTCAGTCCGGACTTTCAAGACCTTGGTTATCTGGGACTGGGCGATGTCCACAGCCTGGCCCAAAAGACTAGACATGTCTAGAACCTGCAAGATTTCATCCTGTGCCACTATTGTCGGTCGTCTGCGGCTCTCCGTGCTTCGCGGATCGGGGCTTGGAGACCGGGACTTGGATTCAGATGGATTGTCCAAACCACTCGCGATATCGAGGAGAATCTTGACTTGAACGCTGAGTCTCCGCAAGGATTCGCTGACGTTGGTGTATACTCGGCTCAACATGCTGTAGGAATCCTCCGAATCCATTGCACGGAGGTTGCGCGCAAGAATCGACGACTTTTCTTGCTGGCTAAGTGATGAGGACCTAGTCGTAGATACAGAAATTGTTGATTCGGTATCATCATCGCTGGAACTGGGCATCTGTTTGCGGATCAATGCTTTCATTTCTCGAAGAACGGCGGTTTTGAATGAGGTGGTCGCAGGAGTGGTATAATGAGTTCGTGCGAGTCCGGTAAGCTGAGTCAATAACTTCGATCGGAATTTATCATCAAAAGACATATAGGCCGGTGATATTGTAGAATCGGAGCGCTGGGCCCCACGTTGCCGCTGGAAAGAGGACCCCCATCGCCGCAAAGTTGAATCAAGCGTCACTTTGTCTACATGTTGTCTTAGATCCGCAAGGAGTTCGCTCAAGAATCGGCTCTCGTACCCCGCGCCGATCTTGGACCTCAACTGCGCAAGGTCGTCGGATGCACCTTCTAGAGCTTTGATCCCCCGCAAATCAATACGTCTCTTCCGCTCTGGTGAAGCACCGTCTTCGCTAGGACGTCCATCAGCATGCTCTCCAGCCATTAATCTCTCAACCTCCTCAAGGCCGTCAGCAGCCTGCTCGATTTCGCCGCTCTCCACAAGCTGGTCGCACCGAGAGACGGACTCGACCACGTCGCAAAGTTGAGACACAGCGTCGGCAAGCATTCGAACGTTTTCCCTTCGACGTCGCAGGTTGACGATCTTGAGGCCCCCTAATGCCATTTCCCGGTCGATCTTTTGGAGGTCCTTCCGCAATGTTTGTATTCGTTTTACTGAGTCTGCTGCTTCGGAGTGTAGTTCACGCAGGGACCCTAGCGCTGAAAAGAAGGATTTGGACGCTGTAGAGATGGACGAAATAAGGTGAATTTCCACTGTATCCATGTACCATGACAGTTTCTCCTGCAGAATGGCGTTCGTAGCAAGGGCCTTTCTACCACTTGGCGCGGGCTCCCCGGTAGCCCCATTCGAAGGAGGCCTAATTATGTCTGATTTCTCCGACACCACATCGAATATCCGGGGGTTTTCGAGATGGAACTCTTCCTCAAAGTATAATGGCGGAATCGTAGAGAGCGGCGTAATTCCCTGTCCACGGCTTAGTCCACCAGAAGACCGTCTTCTACCTCTAGCATCGTATGGCGAGCTGGCACGTGAGCTAATAGACAATGTCGACGGTCGTCGTTCCTGCGATCTGGACCCGAATCTATCAAAATCGTCCGACTTTGAGGGACCCTTGCCTCCCCGCGCGAGTTGTGATTCTTCTCCGGCGCTTTCCTTAGCTTGTTGAAATACATCGTACAGTGACCCCACCTGGGTCATATATGGTTGAAACGCTTTCGGATCGACATGGGGTATATTTGTCAACGTCACCGGGGGTATATCGCGAGACGATGGGGGTTTATATCCGGTAGAGGACACCGCAGTGTGAGGGAGCAGTCCCGTGCGGACAATCGGAGGTTGGAGCAGGGTGGAAATCGCTATACCAGTATTAGTACACACCATGGGATCCCCTCCCCCTAATAGCCAAGACACAACGCACCATTCTGCCCTGCTTCCGCAATTGACCCATGATGTTGTGACGAGTCCAGAGCTCCTCCAATGCTCACAACCGAGCTCGCAGTCGACCCTCTCCTCAGGGGGATGTTTCGCTGAAGCGGGACCCGGGGCGAATCGAACGGATTGGCGGACTGTTGGGATAATGACGGCGTAGACGCACCCGAGGCAAGGCTGTCAATCGACTTCCGGGGACTCGCGGCGGACATTTCGATCGTGCGAAAAGGCCGGATCCAACGGCCAGCGTACTGATCGTGCTGAACTGCTATCTAATCATGACAGAGGACAACTGTTCCTGTTGAAAGCCGCGGTATCGCAGCGCTGGCGTCAATGTGCCTTTCACGGCAACGTAGTCGCGATCGGTAACTCGGAATGAAGGAATGGAGGCGTATTGATCTCGAACGCAGGTGAAACGTCCACCAAAACTGCCGGCATGCGGTTCGCAGTTAGGAAACACATGACGGCTCACCCCGATCGGGAAATGCGCTCACTCCGCAGCCGCCACGGCACCTAGGCCAAATCAGGAACTCGGGAATATCATTCCTCCGGTACCTTGTCAGGCATCAAATAATATGTGCCTGGTAAAAACCACTTAACGCGTGTTCGAGACGCGACGCGTTCCCCGCGGTTCAACAGCAAAAAAGATATTATCCGCGACTCCTTGCGGCGGTGATAGTTTACAGCATCCACAACCACCACTACATCTCCTTCATATTAATCCAGTTTCTTTTGACGTCTACGGCATGGATAGACGCACTCCCTATACTTTGAGCGTGCTACCGCCCAGCGAGGATGTTGGAGAAGACTCTCGCACGCACATTCAGGCCCGACTGCGGGAGTTTGTGCTGGAATTCCAGCTGGACAACGCTTTTATTTACCGGTGCGTCAAAGTGGATGAGATGTGGGGAGATTGAGAAAGAGGAGAGACTGATGGGTTATACAGAGACCAGCTTCGACAGAATGCCTTGGTGAAGCAATACTACTGCGACATTGATATCGCCCATTTGATTTCGTATAACGAAGAGCTGGCCCACAAACTTACGACAGAGCCCGCAGACATTATCCCTCTGGTATGAGATCCATTGACGAATACCTTCTCGGGGGTAAACTGCTAACATGATTCGTTCATAGTTCGAAGGAGCCCTCAAGCAGTGCACACAACGGATTGTGTTCCCCTCCCAAAGAGACATTGTCCTCCCGTCGCATCAGCTGCTCTTGCACTCGTCCGCAACACACATCTCAATCCGTGACCTCAATGCCACCAACATCTCTCATCTTGTTCGTATCCCCGGTATCGTGATCGGAGCCTCGACCATTTCGTCCAAAGCAACAATCGTCCATATTCGATGCAAGAACTGTGATCATACCGAAAATATCTCAGTCGACGGTGGATTCTCCGGTCTCTCGCTACCCAGGACCTGTGGTCGTAAACAACAACCTGGGGATGAACCGGGAGATAGATGTCCGTTGGATCCGTATGTGGTTGCACACGAGAAGTGTCAATTCGTCGACCAACAGGTTCTCAAACTCCAAGAAGCCCCCGACCAAGTCCCTGTCGGAGAACTTCCCAGACATGTGCTCATCTCTGCGGATCGCTACCTGGCTAACCGGGTTGTGCCAGGATCCCGTTGCTCAGTGATGGGTATCTTCTCGATCTACCAAGCCAAGGGCGGCAAGAAAGACGCCGCGGTTGCCATTCGCAACCCGTATCTTCGTACTGTTGGTATCAGCAGCGATCTGGATCACACTGCGAAGGGCAGTGCTATTTTCTCAGAAGAAGAGGAGCAGGAATTCTTGGAATTGAGCCGTCGACCGGATCTGTACGACGCGTTGGCCCGGAGTGTCGCTCCCTCGATTTACGGTAACCTGGATATCAAAAAGTCTATCGTTTGTTTACTTATGAGCGGTTCGAAGAAGATTCTCCCTGATGGAATGAGACTTCGTGGAGATATCAACGTCATGCTTCTTGGTGATCCCGGTACCGCCAAGTCTCAATTGTTGAAGTTTACCGAAAAGGTATCACCAATCTCCATCTATACTTCCGGTAAGGGTTCTTCTGCGGCTGGTTTGACCGCATCGGTGCAACGAGATGCCGCCACACGCGAGTTCTATCTCGAAGGAGGTGCAATGGTTCTGGCAGACGGTGGTGTTGTTTGTATTGATGAGTTCGACAAGATGAGGGACGAGGACCGGGTCGCCATCCACGAAGCAATGGAACAACAAACCATTTCCATCGCCAAGGCAGGCATTACCACTATCCTCAACTCGAGGACGTCCGTCCTGGCCGCCGCAAACCCTATCTTCGGCCGATACGACGATCTGAAGACACCCGGTGAGAACATTGACTTCCAAACCACTATCCTGTCCCGTTTCGATATGATCTTCATCGTCCGCGATGACCACGACCGCAAACGTGATGAGAACATTGCACGTCACGTCATGGGTGTGCACATGCACGGTAGAGGTGTGGAGGAACAGGCTGAGGCTGAGATCCCGTTGGACACTATGAAGCGATACATCAGCTATTGCAAAACGTATGTACCACCCCACTTTTTCAATGGAAGACCATCTCTAACAATTTTGAAGTCGATGTGCCCCTCGCCTCTCCCCCGAAGCCGCAGAAAAGCTGTCCTCCCACTTCGTCTCCATCCGCAAACAAGTCCATCGTGCCGAAATCGACGCCAATGCTCGTTCTCAAATCCCTATCACTGTCCGCCAGCTCGAAGCTATCGTCCGTATCTCCGAGTCCCTCGCCAAGCTGCAACTATCACCAGTCGCCACCGAAGTCCACGTTGACGAGGCCATCCGGCTCTTCCTGGCATCGACTATGGACGCTATCACACAGGGTGAGGGACAGGGTAGCAAAGAGATGATGGAGGAGGTTGGCAAGATTGAAGACGAACTTAAGCGCCGTCTGCCTATTGGCTGGAGTACCAGCTTGGCTACTCTGCGCCGGGAGTTTGTTGATGGGAGAGGATATACCGAGCAGGCTCTGAACAAAGCGATTGTGGTCCTCCAGCGGAGAGATACCTTACAGATCCGGTCTGGGGGGTCGCAGGTCTACCGGCATGGTGTTTAGTGCACTTTTTCTCTTGTTTTCATTATTTTTTGTTCTGTTTCGACGAGGTGATGCTTACATATACCGTGAATGCGTTATGTTCACTTTTTATACATGTTGAGATAAGAGGGTTAAGTTTGGGTACAGCGGGACTGAACTGGTGTATGGCGTGTTTATGGGTACATTGAGTATATTATCTACTTTCATAATTGGGAACAATTCAAGCATATACAAGCTACTTAGTCTCATTCATTGCAAAGTCTGGGTGTATGAATTCTGGGTATCTGTCAGGTACTCAGACCTCTGGTCTTCTCATTCACTCTCTTGCTGTCATATATCGATCTTCTCTTCCATTGGGAACCACATGCAAAATCTAACTCCTCCATGGGTATCACCACCTTACCAATCAGAGATCCCACGAGTCTGTTTGAAAGATACCGTGTACACAAGTCATCACGAAGAGCGGCGGGGTCCTTCTCTTAAGACCAGTTACCGTTCAGGCCTCCTTTACGTTTTATTCTTGGTTGTGGCATAGACAATGCTAACAACTCGTTCTCTAACTAAGCGTGGATATCCTCCTCGGCACCGGGGTGAGTCTAGATGTCAGCGACATTCCAGGCCTGTTTTCAGTCTGGAAATAGTCTTTACTGTCGCTGTCACATTAGTTATCTGTTGTCCTTGAAGGGAACAGGTGAGAAATATAGGAGGTAGGTCCCTAGAGCATACAGCTCATCCTTAGGTTGTGGGATGACTGATAAGTTGGACTCAATATCAGGCGAAGGATCGCCCTCAGCACCCAAAAGGTGATTTCAACATCGAGGATAGCCTGTCCATCGTTCGCCTACTTGACACACTATCGATATTCCGCACTTACTAGATGGTTCACGAAACGAGTTCTCAAAGGAACGAAAGTGAGCAGATCTGAGGTTACAATGCATGACGGTCGACCCTTATTCCACCTTTTGAGTCACGGAGCATCCGCGGAATGCACTGGCAAAGAAATGACGGCGCGTAAGACGACGCACAGCAGTTCCTGGCGACACCTGTAGTGAGTGGGCTGGCTTGCTTGTGGGACTTTTGTACGCTGGATCGTCCTGTCTGGAATATCTTGGCTATGCCTGCTTGTTCGGTAGCTCACAGGATGAAGCATGGATCCATCACAGATCGAGAAACGGACTTGACGGTGCTAGAACATATGCTCTTGCAGCGCAATACTATTGTGCATGGAGGCGATGTCCTTTGGGGTATTGCTAGGGATACCATGGGGGCAGGCAGATCCTAACCGCGCCAATGCATGGAATTATCTTTCCCTGGGGTACTAAGGTGTCTAATTCAGCTCAAGCAACATACTATAGCTACCATCATCAAATGTTGCCTAAGCATACGCTTTTCAATGTATGCCATGAGCTCTTGGGGACTCGCAGAGACTCCATAGGCTTGCAGGTGGACTTCCCACCGATTTCTACCGTCAAGCATACGAAGGGAGAGATAGCAATAGACAAAGGGGCTGATTTATCTTTTGACGTCTTCTCCAAATTTGCTGGCAGGGTCAGCATTCCCGTGAGCACATGCTGGCTTGCTGCGGGAACTCTTGGAGGGATGGCAGATTGCACTGGACTGGAAGAGAAAGCTGGTTCTGGGAGACCCCTTGGGCGACTACAAAGTCTGTACTGACAGTTTCTAGAACCTTTACGGGCTCCCATTCTCGATGTCCTCTGGGACATCAAGTTTACCCGGCTAATGTCCGGGGAGAAGGGGAATTCCTGGAGAGAAAGATTTTGGACACTATATGGGCTTCCATCCTCCATGGCATCTTCAATTGAGAAGGGGCGGGCAAAACTGCACATGGCAATAAATATGCATTTCAACATGATCAAGATAGTCCCATGGGGTCTTCCTCATTACCAAGCCCAGCGGGAGAGCTTTGGAATTTTCCTGTCCGAGCTCCTTGTCAAATGGCTAGAGGTGGCTTGGGCCGGCAAGAATAGCCCAATGCCGCGCATCCCAGCAACGCATTGTTGTTGTACATGGCGGCAATATCCGAATAAACAGGCATAGATAATTGTCATGATTGGTCATCACATCATACAGACACTGTTGTACAGTTTGCTTTATGTTTGCCCTCATTCATCTGCCCCTGTATTCTCTCTTCTGTAAATTTCGTCCTCTCATATCAAGAACCAATTTAAACCATGGTCCTCTTTCTCATCTTGTCTACACTCAAACAACAAACTTCCCACCGCAACGAATACCATCATAGCAGAGCTAGCCAGCAAACTCCCTTACACTCGAGAGTTCACCCAGAAGCTCACCAAGTCAAGCCCGCACTATCGAGAGCTCTTAAAAGCCAGGCTCTTGATCTCGAGCACCGGCCTGCCCACCAAGAAGGCTGCCATTTTATACGGCGGCAATATGCTCGCTGGCATCGAATGTATCCAAACGATGCAGGTCATCAACAAGCCGCAGGCAAAAACCCTCGAAGCCAAATTCAGAGACCTGTACGGCCTACTTCTTGACTCTCACGCGCTCATCATCAAAGCACCAAAGGATTTGATCAGTACAAGCAACATCCTCGCGACTACAAAGGCTTTGGCGCCTTGAGCGGAGAACCAGAATGACAAGCAGACTGTTGGATACCAGAAACAGTTGAAAGACTTTGTTCAGGGATGGCTGCTGTATGAGAAGCAGTGGACGGGAATGGATTATTTGAAGGGTTCTAAATTGGAGCATGTGAAGAATTGGTATATTGGGACTATGAAGGATGGCTTTGATGTTAAGAATTCGTGGGATGGGCTTGGACTTGAGTCGTTGTAGGAGTAGACTGGAATTAGACTAGGTATTAACTGGTTATTGGTTAGATAAGTAATAAATTAAGCGTTGACCGCGGGTTTACTATGCTTTCTGAAAAATTGTAGTTGCAGTTCGAGGTAAACTAGGGCACGGCGGCAATCCTTTGTGCTGGGTTGTGGTTGTGTAACATTGTCGTTTATTATTATTAGATAACTGGGATTTTAGGAGCAAGCATTTGAAAGGATGTACAGATTGTTTGTTATACAGTCCCAATAATTGAAGCCTTTGTTTAGGTGGTACATATCAAAAGCCTGCCATGTGCTTGATCTGATGTACTGGAACATGAAATGTAGTACTAGAAGCACTAACAGCATGGGTATATGCTGGAATCACATATATCACGGTTGTACAGGTTGTCTGTATGCTTGCCTCGCTTATTATTACTGCATTCTTTGGTCTATATATTTCCGCTCTTTCCCACTTACAACCGTAATCATCATCCAATCTCCAGTCTTATTTGCAAACTTCATCCTCTGATCATCAATCATTCAACATGGTCCTTAGATCCATGAGCACGACTCACCATACTACCTTTCCAAAGACCCGGGAAGAATACCGAGCCCGACAAAAAGAGTCTATCAGAAAATCTCTGTTAAAAGAAGCCAATCTCAACAAAGCCCTCCAAGCAGCAAGCCAATCAGAAAAACACCGCGAAAATGCGGTCCAATACAGGAAAATCGTCCTGGACACTGAACTATCAGTGGTCCAAAACAGCGCCACGTTTGCCGGCAACATCGTGAGAGATATCGAGTGCATTGAGCAGGCACAGAACGAGGATGATCCGCGTGTAGATGCGCGGAAGGCTACGTTCCGGAAGCTGTACAAGGTTTCTTATGACGACCGGGAGGATGTTTTGAAAGCACCGCAGGCTTTGGTTGATACGTGCAATATGCTTTGGAGTTCGAAGGTGGTGTATCCTTGGGCGGAGCATGATGAGGTTGCGCGGTACTGTACTACGCTGGATGAGCTTATCTTTGGGTGGGAGGTTGCGAGGAGGGAGGGGAAGGGTGATGAGTATTGGGAGCTGGGGCATGTTGTTTCCACGTTTAATGATATGAAGGAGTGGTATGAATATGGGGTTTATGGGATTCCGGAGTAATTTTGGGACCAGATCATGTGAAGCGATTGGATGTCAGTACTAATTTCGGGGTAATAGCTAGTATTCAAAATGATATATCACTTGTTTACGGAGTACTGTTGTAGTTGTACTTGCAATCCGAGATAGGGCTGGTCAAGCACCGACGTAAGCCGAGGGAGGCCCCACCGAACCTGAACCCCACGCGTGACAGCATCGTCACTTCCACCATCATCATCTCAACCAACTTAGTGTGTCACAGCACTACTCTTTACTCTTGTATATATCTCTATCTTTCTACCCACCGCTGAACTGATACACGCATTACGATACTACGATCGCACCGCAACCGCAACAATGCCCCCTCTAATCCGCGTCATCGGCTCCCTCAACGTCGACATGGTCTCAGTAACCCCGCGATTCCCCTCCCCCGGCGAAACCATAACAGCATCTTCCTACTTCATGTCCGCCGGCGGCAAAGGCGCAAACCAAGCCGTCGCCTGCGGCCGCACTTCCCGCCCAAAGCCCACCTCCCCTAACACTCCCTCCACCCCCAGCACGCCGATCGATATCGAAATGGTAGGCGCAGTCGGAGCGCTGGACGGCCACTTCGACGCCCTCCTCAAACCTACGCTTGAAAAGTCGGGGATTGATACATCGCGGGTGCGGATTATTCCTGATGCGTATACGGGCGTTGCGGTGATTATTGTGGATGAGTCGGCTGGGGGTGAGAATCGGATTTGTTTCTCGCCCGGGGCGAATTATAAGGGTATGCAGCCTGTTCCTGAGGTGCTGGGGTTGGGTCTTGCGGCTCCCGTTCCGGATGTTATTGTGCTGCAGGGTGAGATTCCGAAGGAGTCGTTGATCGGGACATTACGTGATATTGGCGCGTTTAAGCAGAGAAATCGTGAAGAGGGGAAGAAGGGGATCGAAATTGGTCCGGAAGTTGTGTTTAACCCTGCGCCGGCGCCGCCGGGGGGTTTGCGGCCGGAAGACGGGATGTGTTCTGTGGATCACCTTATCATGAATGAGACGGAGGCGGAATTAATGAGTCCATCGAAGGAGGAACTGGGGTGGCATGCCTGCGTCGGTGAGAACAGGAAGAAGAATATTGCGGGCTATTTCCAGGCACATGGCACGACGTACGTTATCATCACGCTTGGTTCGAAAGGCTCCTGGTACAGCGCCTGCCAGCCCGGCGGGGGCGGTCCCATAAACGGGGTCGACAGGTTCATGAGCGAGATTCCGGCGGATAAAGTGTCCAAGGTGCTCGATACGACGGCCGCGGGGGATACGTTTGTGGGTGCGTATGCGGTGGAGATTGCGCGGTGGCGTGAGGCGAGGAGAGCTTCTGGGAAGGCCGGAGTGGACCTCACGGAGGAGGAGTTGAAGGAACGGTATGAGACGGTGACGGAACGGGCGATGAGATTGGCGACAAAGGCAGCGGCGCGGTGTGTTGAGAGACAAGGGGCGATGGATAGCATTCCTTGGGAGGATGAACTTTGAGAGGCGTGTACGATGTACCATACTCCGTACTTTACGTTAGATATAGATATCCATAAAGCACCATCATTATGTGGCAAAGCGAGGTGTCTCGCGAAGAATGGAATGTCCATGTACAACCGGGCATCTATGTATGGGCGCGGATCTGTCACTCACATTCCTCACGTCTGATGACGGGCCCTATTGTTACAGATTCTTGCACGTGTATTCGAGAAATAATTCATTCGTATAGTCCTCTAGGTCACTATGTTGGTCTTCTCTGGTTGTTCCACCTTGCTTGTAATCACATTCCAAGCTAATGGCCATTCACTGACTGAACCATTTTTCATTTTAAGAATATTGGGATAAGGATATTTCGATAGAAATAACTCCAATACCAGGAAGTTCCCTGGTTCAATCTAGTCAACGTATCGCTCCAGCTCCAGAAGCCCCCTCCTCCCCCCCCCCCCCCCCCCCCCCCCCCCCCCCCCCCCCCCCCCCCCCCCCCCCCCCCCCCGTCGGAGGTTCGCCTCCCAATCATCAATGAGTGATTGGAGGATCCGCTCTCCATGCGCTCGCCGGCCCCGATTGTTACGGTGGCGCCAAGGCAGCACCTGACGGAGGTTGAAAAGTACTGGTTGCCTCGTACATTGTGAAATGCACGCCGTAACTCCTTCCGAAGACGGCCTTCCAAGCATTGGCTCGCACTGACTCTCTTCGTTCTATGATCTTTGTGGCCCTTATGTCCGCCATGATATTGCCCGCGTGGGCGACAACGTTTCGAGTCGGCCGTGAAGGCTTTAGGATTGGCCGGTGTATGTGGACATCATTTTAAAGAGTCCCGCTTTGGAACTCTGGCATCAGCAAGATTGGCGCATTATAGTACCAAAGTGTCACCCCAGATAAAAACATAGGTGTATCCACCTCCGCTCTCTTATATAGCGTCGCCGCCATGGGCAATAACTGGAGGACGAGTCAGAGTGCGAGAAGGACGGAGATGTGATAGGGATAGACGTACAATATGACTGCCATATTTTGACTTTTCCAAGGCCAAGAGGGCTGCAATGATTGAGGTTCTTGGTCGTTGTGTCCGCATACAGTATTTGGGATGGTTCGAGTAAGACGATATCGACCAGAAAGGATGTGTAGATGCGATGGGGGTTGTAAAAGGTATTTCGAGACACAAGAGTAGAAACGGGAAGAATAGATAGTCTGACAACATTCACTGACCAGGTGGAAGGATGATGGATGAATGACAGTGGGATGGAATGGGTGAGAAGGAGGTTAGTGCTAACCGAGAAAGGAAGGAAGGAGTACGGGTTACAGTCCTAGCTAGGTCGAGGATTAGTAGGAGTACAGTATCCTATTCACTTTCTTCAATCCTACATCGGCACGAATATTCAATCCTGTACAGAGTATAGAGGAGTAAATGAATGTCGAGTCGCGAGGATGGTATGTCCTGTCATAGCATTCCTCACGCTCTCCGGACAGCCCCGGATAGTAGTAGTATGAATGAAGATCAAATCCCGGCCGATCAGGGAATCCCCTCTCACGATGGACGTATCAGAGTAAGCCCTGGCAGTAATACTATGGCTGTAGTGTACTGGTCTGTTTCACCATGGTAGTCTCTGGCGGCAAGCATTGGCTGAGAATGCCTTACTCCGGGCATTGCAGTTACACTAGAGTACTTCTGTATCCGATCGACACCACGTACCCAGGCTTCTACTTATAGCACGCGTGAGATCGCAAGACGCGATTTCAGAGAAGTAAGCTGTATGGCGTGGGGAGAATAATGCATTGCAGACCTGGGGAAATGGAGATGATACGGAGACGCGAAGACGCGTTGGACGCGTTGAAGGGAGGTGGTGAAGCAATTAATGATTATTGAGTTTGTAGTCTGCGATAGTGGATGGTCTGTGAGGTTGTACTCCGTTTGTACTCCATTTGGAATAGAAGCGGTCTAGAAGTGTTGTGGTAGTATGCGCGTAGTCGAACCGTCATGGATAACACCTATTAGCTCTCTCAGTACGGTTAGACACCCCTTAACACAGGTAAAGAATAGCCAGACTAGCCCTTATTCGGGTAGTTAACTATAATCAGTGAATTAGATAAAACACGCGCCTTGCATCATCACACACGAACCACGTCGGGGACGCGCCGGCTGGCGTTGAAACCGCATGTTCAGGTGGAGAGGAATGAATGGAGCCTCCATTTTCGCCCGCATTTTTCACCCTTCCTTACCTTCTCCAGGAACAGTATATATTCGTTTCTTCCTCGTTGTCTCTTCAATATTGTCTGTCAATTACTTATCATTGTTTCAATGCTTTCAATTGCTCGTGTATTCCGTACTCAGAGTAGCTGACAGCCAATCACCGCCCTCCATCTCCACCAAAACAAACTCCTCAGCTCAGCTTGACAGCTACAGAATAAATACATCTCTCTAATCTGTATCAACCAAGAATCTCCGTAATGGCGGCAGTCACCATGTCTACTCCTGCACGCCAACTGTTTGCCAGCCTGGACGCGCCTCGTCTGCGCGCCCTGGCCAAATCTCGCATGAACATCCGCAATCAACAAAACGGTGAGCTCCATCCGGCTTCACATCTACAAAAACAATCGATTCTAACGCGTGTAGGTGCCATCGTCACCGGTAAAAGAAAGCCTCTGGGCGACATTGACACCGAAAACATCGACCCGACTCTCAACCTCTCCTCCAAACGCAAGCGCGGATCCGACGAAGACGATGACCTGTCCAACAAGAAGACCTCCACCTCCACCGCTCCCTCTAAGCCTCTCAAGACCTCTCGATTCGCATTGAAGACTATCGAAACTAGTCCTTCTGCCCCTCGCATCTCGTCCATCCCCCAGCCATCTACCCCGAAGTCCACCTCCAGCCTCAAACCCGCCGGTCGCTCGCCTCTGTCTCTCAAGTCCATCTGCAAACCGTTTGCTCGGAGGTCGAACATCGCCAAGGGGACTCGTTCTGAGCCTACGGGTCGGAAGAGTGTTAGCCGGCCATTCTCGATTGCGACGGCCTTGTCGAATGGAAAGTCTCAGAAGACCGCTGCTCCCTCTACTCCCTCTACTCCCTCTACCAAAACACCTGCCCCCGCTTCCTGGTCCTTCGATATCCACGTCGACTCTGAAGAAGAGGAGATGACCAACCTCATGCAACACTCCACCGGTGTCCTTGATATCAGCGACAGCGAAGCTAAGCAAGATACATCATCCGGTCGCGGAAAGGAGAATGTCCCGCCCGCTGAGCTGGGCATTGAGCTCGCTCCCGCCGCACCTCAACAGGAGTCGCCTGCCGCAGCTGCTCGCAAGTCTGTCATGATGGAAGAATCGCGTGCTCCGCTTGGTGAGCTCAATGCCGCGGACTACTACGGTGCTGACTGCCATGCGTTTTCCTACGCGGTGGTTTGGGAAGAAGCAGAGGAGATTGATGTTGACAACGCACCCGTTCCCTCGCAGACACGGAGGTCGTCTGCATCTCGTGGGAGTACCAAGCCTGTTCGCAGCACCAAGCTGTCTTCTGTCTCGTCTATCTCTTCTCTTGAGCCTACTGTCTTGAAAGAAGAGCCTGTTAAGAGTGAGCGGTCAGAGGCTGGGATTGAGATTTATGAGAGTGAGGGTGCTGCTGAGAAGGACGCATAATCCATTCGTTCGTTTTATTTTATAATTTCTGTGGCATGGCGTTTGTGTTGGTGGTCATCTGAGCTATTTCGTCTTGATACCCTTTTCCTTTGTTGATGTGCAAAAGCAAGCCGGTCTTTTACTGTTTACTTTGTCTTATTATCTGTCATACTAGTGCTGTAAATACTGTATATCAATTGAACAGTGTACCAAATATCAAGATCCCTCATCCATCTCATCATCTTCATCTTGATCCTGATCCTCCGCATCATCCCCGTCCTGATTCTCATCCTCATCCTCACCCTCTTGATCCTGCATCTCAACCTCCTCCCCTTCACTCCCTTCATCGCCCTCACCCTCATCCTCCCACTGCACCTTCTTCCCACCCTCCCCAACCTCGTTCCCGCCTTTTCCATCAACACCACCAGGCCTACTAACAACAGCCCTCCAACTAACAGCCCCCCTAATCGCAGCCCTAATATCAGTAGCCATCTGCATCTCCCTCGAACCAACCCCCTCCCCCTCACACGAAAACTGCAAAACCTCCTCATTCAAATTCTCCTCATCCACATGATCCGGAAACGCAAGAATCCTTCCAAACTCAGCCTCATCATCCGTAGCCCGGTTCTCAGTTAGCGCGAGGATCTTGGCGCGCATTATCGCCTTCGCTTTGGCCATCGTACCAGTCCCGTACCACCCGTCTGTGACCGGTTCACAGGTTTCTCGGAGAAAGCCTGGTGGAGGGTTTGTTGGGTCTGATGGGTTTGGCGGGAAGAGGAAGTTTCGGAGTAGAGGGTCTGCGATGTCGCAGAACATCCACATTCGGCCGTCGTGCGGGAGGGGCGGGGTGCCTGTGAAGATGTGTGTTGTTTCGGCGGGCACGGGGGTTGTTGTTGTGAAGGTGTTGTCGGAGGAGAGAGTTGTTCGGGAGGATGGGTTTGCGAAGGGGTTTATGGCGGCGACGTCGGAGTAGCGGGTGTGGGTGTGGCGGCGGTTGGATTTCACGCCGCCGTGTCCGCCGGTAGTGCCTGTGGTGTATGTGTCTGTGTTGGTAGTGTTGAAGTTGGCGCTGCCGCCACCATCACGCGCGACTTCGGGGTCACGGGGCAGGAGGCGGAACATGGCTGTTTGGTAGATACGGTAGTCTGGGGAGGAGCGCGGGTCGTGGCCATGTTTGACGATAGCATCGCGCCATGGTCCTGAGCGGAAGATGTAGCCGACGTAGGGGACTGCATGTTTCAGGGCGTGTCTTTGCTCGAGTTTCGTGAGGGAGTTACGTAGGCCGCGTCTTGTCCAGGCTGGTCTGGTGCTGAAGAGGGATTCGAGCACGGAGATGGTTTCTTGGAGGACTGGCTCGAGGGTTGGGATTGGCGGGCAGCCGGGGTGGGCGGCTTGGGGGACTGTTGGGATGTCGTAGGGGACGAGGTGGGTTGCTATTTTTGTGGCGGAGGAGGTGTTGATTGTTGTTGGTTGGCCGGTTTTGTCGAGGGATTGCTTGACGGTTGGGTTTTGGCGGTAGCTTTTGCTGTTAGTATGTACTTGTCTCTTGGGGAAGAGGGCAAGGGTGGGGGGCGTACAAGTAGTTGAATGGGATGTCCCCGTGGCTGTATGATGGTGGTGGTATGATGTCCACGTTGGAGATGGCACCTTTGGACATGTTGATGTCGAATTGTTTCATTTTTTCGTCTGCTAGGTTAGTATATATATATATATATATATATAATATTGAGCAGGGGAAGTTGGACATACAGTCAAAAGACAATATTTGATCACGGAACCGATTGGTAAATTCGCTGGACGACGTCGACCACACGAAATCCGGCATTCCTGTTCAGTCAGTATATATTCAGCGTGTAGAAGTGTATGTAGATGCACACCTCGAAACACATGCGTCCGATTCACCATCCCCACCGGCTCAACCTGATACCTCCCAACATTATCCTCCAAGCTTCTCCTCAGGTCTCTCGCACTAAGTCTTGGGCATCCATCATTCTCAGAAGGAAGATGCATCTCCGTAAACGGCTCCTCAGTCCCCCTCTTCCGTCTCCGTCCCGTGCGCCTCGGAACAGTCACCTTGAGCAGGACATTGTTCGTCTGCGAATTAGTCGACTGCAAAGGCCTGGACATGACATCTTCTGGACGGAGATTCAGGTTGGCTCTTGTATCAGCCCTCGAGGAGTTTATAATCTGGCATTTGTTAGTCTGCGTCTTCTATTTCATACTGGGAAGGGAGGGGTACCTTGGATATGCCCGCGTTGCCCTCGAGCGTATCGATTGCTTTATCGACATTGCGGATTATGGCTGGATGTTCGACGCTGGCGATATGGTGGGGTGGGACTGTGTAGAATGGAGCTGTTCTTTGCTCGTCTGTCATGGTTATGTCTGCATCTTGGGGTTGGTTGCGGTGGTGAAGGCTCTTCCTGCATTAAAAGCAGCGCAAATGCAGTAAAAAATATGTTCTTATTTTAACTTGTGTGTTTCTATTTTTAGTTTTGTCTCCCATGGTCTGGTGGCTGTGATGACATTGTAGCCGTACATATCCGAAATAGTTACAAGTGAGCGGAGAGCCTGAGTTCGATTCCTCGGCAGAGGACAAACGACAACATTCGGTAATTTTTTTTTTTTTTTTTTTTTTTTTTTTCTCTTTGCTTTCTTTTTTTCGTTCAGGTAAATTTTCTTCTTTTTCCTACTCAGTGCCATTTCATTAATAGCCGATTCCCTTTTATCTCATTTCATTTCTATTTCGAATATTAACATTGTATTTCGACAGGAGTATATCCGCGATGATACACTGCACAGGACTTGAATAACACAAAATCAGAAAACAGCTCAAGACCGTTGTCTCTGTAACCAGTAGGAGAATAAGGACCAACAAGAATCCTTCTGTGTAATGGAGTAGAACTGTAATCTGTACTCCGTGGTCATTACTATGTACATGCGCACCAGAATCGGCCACCTCGGTCGCCTCCCTCCCCTTCGAATTAAACAGGATACCACCAGATTTGCCTAAAATTAAGCATCTTTTTGACTCTATAGTTAAGTTGATCTTATTTATGCATTCTTTCTCTCTTAGTCACTGCCCATATTAATATTGCTTTCTCCCCGCCAGCTCCCCTTCCGCCAGCCGCTAAGCGACACGGAGTCGATCGCCCAAGCAGCAGACCAGAGCCAGGACCACCATCACTTTACTTCGACGACAACTACGACGACTACCAACAACCTACACCGATAGCTACCTGCATTGGTATAGCATCATTATAATCATTATCGCCATTTCGCGTCTTTCTTTCCTCTTCAATTGTTCCTCCCCCCCCGAGGTAAGCCTCTCCCTCCCCCCGACATCATTCTTGGGGAACCAGCCTGCCGGTCGCTTTCTCCCTGAGATCTCGCTCTCTGCCTCTCATTCCAACCACCTCTTACTTCAACCCCCCTCCCCTTCTATTCCCCTCCTCCACTTCGTCCAAATTCCCATAGCCTCTCGTTTCGTCGATCAAAAATAGCCAAGCCAGCCAATCCCTCCCGCTAGTTCTGTTCAAACGGAGCTGGCCTCGATTCAACGGTCCCGCTGTCGTGTTTATCAGGTGTTGGTCGGCAAATCGCTCATGTGGTCTTATTGTTTCAGGTCCTTATAAACACTTTCCTCTTTTCCTCCGTCGTGACCGTTCCTTGAATCGCCTTTCTCGTCGCTCACCTCTACATTCGCTCCTGCTAGTGTGCGGCGTCCGGCTGCACTGGCATCGAGAATTCCGGCCGAGTACATGTGGTTGCTTACATACCCGGCATAATGAAGGGCTTCAGACAGAGAGTGGTAAGTCCTGGGGTTCTTCTTTGCTACCCCCTCCATTCGGTTCTGTCGTCTGGTCGCCCTTCTTACGTGACAATCCGCGTTCCCCTCCCCTTTTCTGTTAACAGTGGGAATGGTGACCCAAGGCGACGAGCAGTGGAGGAATTGAACTGAATCCCGGAATTTCGAGTTAACGTCTCCCAGCATGAGCAGTTGTCGCGGGCGAAAGACAACAAATCGTCGAAGAAGAAGGATTCCAACCAGTCTCGAGACCAAGGCGCGCTCGGAATCTCCCAATCTGCATCTCCTAACCATGGCACTCCAACATCGTCAACGACTTCGGTGAATGATACAAAGGGAAGATCACCAGATAATGCTGCGCAGGGACTATACCCCCCGGGAGCTCCTGGGTCGCATTATCTCCCCCAGGGAGGCCAGCCGGGGAATAATGGCCCCGCAACCCCAACCAAACAGGGTGGTGCTCCCAGTGTGGTCATCAGCCCCAGTGCACCGGTAAGCGCATCTTTGGCCGCCGTTTCTATGTTTACTTTCCTACGGTTTACTGATCGTGAATCAATGATTACAGCACGCACCTCCGCCAGGTGCCGCCGAGACCATGCCGGGAGATCTGGCACCTCCCCGAAAATCCAACGTTTTTGATCGCCTCCAGACAACACCCAAGGATATGTCGGAAGGGATCCGGACCCCCAAGCGCCAGCACTCGTCGCGATTCGACATCTCTGACCAGCGCCAGAGGGAGTTAGAGAAGCTGCCGGGATTCCACGAAGTGCCTCCCAATCGTCGCCAGGATCTCTTTATGCAGAAGATCGATCAATGCAATATCATTTTCGACTTCAATGACCCGACCGCAGACATGAAATCTAAGGAGATTAAGAGATTGGCGCTCCACGAGCTCTTAGATTACGTCGCCAACAACCGTTCGGTGATTACGGAACCAATGTACCCCCGGGTCGTCGAAATGTTCTCCAAGAACCTATTCCGTCCTATTCCACCGCCCTTGACGCCTCAAGGGGAGGCTTTTGATCCCGAGGAGGACGAACCGGTGTTGGAAGTCGCATGGCCCCATATTCAAGTTGTCTATGAGTTCTTCTTGCGATTCATCGAGAGTCAAGATTTCAACACCAACGTTGCCAAGGCGTACATCGACCACCATTTTGTGCTTCAGGTATTTTCGTCCCTCAATCTGTCGAAAATTCTCATACTCACATGTTATAGTTGCTTGAACTGTTCGATTCCGAAGACCCTCGGGAACGCGATTTTCTCAAGACTACCTTGCATCGGATTTACGGTAAATTTTTGAACTTGCGGTCATACATCCGACGGTCGATCAACAACGTCTTCTTCCAGTTCACCTATGAAACCGAGCGGTTTAATGGTATTGCAGAGTTGTTGGAAATCTTGGGCTCCATCATCAACGGTTTCGCCTTGCCTCTTAAGGAGGAGCACAAGCTCTTCTTGACAAGAGTGTTGATTCCTCTCCACAAGGTCAAGAGTCTCAGCATGTATCATCCACAGCTGGCATACTGTATCGTGCAGTTCCTTGAAAAGGACTCGTCATTGACAGACGAGGTAAGTTATGAGCATTCATTTCCCGTCGCCAGGAAGAAAACTAACAAATCAAGGTTGTCTGTGGCTTGCTGCGCTACTGGCCCAAGGTCAACAGCACCAAGGAAGTCATGTTCCTGAACGAAGTGGAGGACATCTTCGAGGTGATGGACCCAGCAGAGTTCGTCAAGGTCCAGGAGCCATTGTTCCAACAATTGGCCAAATCGGTTGCTAGTCCCCACTTCCAGGTCGCAGAACGCGCTCTTTACTTCTGGAACAACGAGTATTTCTGTAACTTGGTCAGTGACAATGTGGAAGTCATCTTGCCCATTATGTTTGCGCCACTATACGAAAACTCCAAGGGTCACTGGAACAGGTAAGCTTTCCTTGTAGCTTGTCTTGATCATGTACCGTTGCTGATATTGTTCCAGGACGATCCACAGTATGGTGTACAATGCCATGAAGATGTTCATGGAAATCAACCCACAACTCTTCGATGAATGTTCCCATGAGTATAATGAGCGGATGAATACCGCTGAACAGCGCGAGCAGGCTCGACAGGACCGTTGGGCAAAACTTGCCGAGCAGGCCAAAGATCGGAAGAATGGCGTCGCCCCACCACCATCCAACACCGGAGAGATTCCACTCCAAATCGACGAGGTCGACGCAATTGCTCAAGATACTCAGAACCGTCTGAAATTGCAGGATGAATCGGGCTCGACTCCAGAGCGCAAGCCAACCTCGGTTAGTCCCACACACTCGTAAACACGGCGGCATACATCTTTGTGTTCCGGCAGGCGACTTAATTTTCCTTATCCTTCCTTCTGTGTGTTTGTCGTTTGCTAAGATTTGCCGATCTGCCGTGTACAGCCAGCGTGATTCTAACGTGAAAACGTCCGTTTTGCTCCAGAGACGTCGCCGCGGCTCCCTCGATGGTTCTTCTCGGAGGCGGCGAAGTGGTAGCGGCAGTGAGATTCGACCACGCATCTTTGATCGACGACGGTCGACTGGCTCCGGTATCGCCGTACAGTTTCCGACGCGAAACAATTCTACCAAGAGTTAAGGTGTGGGGTAGTGATGGCTTATTCCTCCCTCCCATTCGTTGATTCCCTGCAATGATGGCATAGCGACTACGAGCTGCGATGATTGTGTATTCCTTTCCCTTTCGATTTGATTATTCTTTATTTTCCCTTTCTGCCTCGTCAAAGCCCCTTTTGTGCTCCTCATTTCTTCATCTTCTCTTCTTCATACTATTTCCCCCGACCCTTTTTTGTGTACATGGCATTCAATATTCTTCTCTTTCTCCGTGAGTGGCCTGCCCAGGCCCGTGAATTCGGAGTGGACACTTTTTTTTCATTTTTGACTTGGGCTATTTTAGAACTGTGTTTCGGATATGGAAAATGGGTGCAAATGGCGTTTCCCTTGATCGACCAGTTATAACGAAATAAGTATTTTTGGCAACAGCAAACAGCCGTTTGCTATCTCCCTACGCGCTTCCCTCCGTATTCCCCTGTAGTAATTCCTGAGGCAGCTAGGGCTTGATAGTACCAGCCATCGCGCTAACCCACGTGCCGTAAGCGAAAGTCGCGTTGTTCCTTGCTAAAAGTCGCTCATTATTGGCTGGCTTTCTACAAGCGCGCGTGTAACCGGCTGGAGAAACAAAAACCCGCACCTTCCCAACTAGGCCTAGCGTATCCGCTCGGGGTCTCTGCGATGCCCGCGTTTCTCTCGCTGCTTTCTGTTCTGTCGGTTTTCCAGGCGTGTGTCCGCGCGAAGCTCCCTCTCTATATCCAAGTCCTTCGCTCCTTCCACCTTCTCTCCCTTTGCCTTCATAATACCCGACCTTTTTCTAATTTCTCGTTTTAATTTTAATTTTATTGAATTTTTCTGCATTTTCCAATTAGCGAAAGGCAGCGATTGATGACTTGATGACCCCGTTTCTTTTGCTTAGGCTTTTTGCAATCCCGGGCGAATAGAAGATAGCCCTTGCGAATGTTCTCGATAGAGCACACTTAACCACCCACCTCCCCGACAGTGCTGGCTCTTGTTTCCCTCGACCTTTAGCCGGCCTCTTGGCCTGGCAGCGATTCGAATTCCTGTTCAACATTAAGACTGCCGAACCGAATCGGGGGCGCTAAGCTCAGTCGCAGCCATGGAGCGCAATATCGACATCTACGCCAGCAAGCTGGGGGATGAGAAGATTGGTTGGTCTTCCTTGCTTGCAATACTGGGCCTGGTCTATATGGATATTGGATGGAAGTGTTGTTAGGGTTGGTGATTGCTAATGGTGCTTTTTGTCCGTTAGATATCAAGGTCAGAGCCAATGTCGCAGTCGAATTACGAGATAATATCGAGCCGCTATGCTCTGGTGCAAGCTACCCGCTTTTCCTCGCGAAGCTGTGGCCGGTTTTCAAGACGATCTTGAAAGGCGATCCGGTGTTTACGAACTTGTCGTTCGACCAGGTGCGTTACTCGTCGCATGTGCGGTCTTGGAGTGCTGGGAGCATCATGGGATTAATGCGTTTGGACTGATCTAGAAACTGCGCAATTGCGTTCTCGAGACCCTTCACCGGCTGCCAACCGCTTCCCTCGATGTCGAACCCTATGCGGAGGATATGGTCGACCTGCTGATGGATCTCGTGCGAGTCGAAAACGAAGAGAATGCGGTACTGTGTATGAAGACGATCATGGACCTCGAACGCAACCAGCCAAAGGCCACCGCCGGTCGAGTGCAGCCGTTCCTCGAGCTTATCCAGGAAATGTTCCAGACCATGGAGCAAGTGGTTCGCGACACCTTCGACACTCCCAGTCAGAACACACCGTCCGGGATGCCCTCGACACCTGGTGCCACAGCGCAGGTCTTCCAGTCTCCTCGTCCGAGCTCGCCAGCTACATCCGTCGCCGATCTTGCACCGGATCACCAACCAGGAAATGTTTTGCTGAAGGGAATGCAGTCGTTCAAGGTCCTAGCCGAATGCCCGATTATTGTCGTTTCGATTTTCCAGTCGCATCGTGCTTCCGTTTCCGCCAATGTCAAGCTGTTTGTGCCGCTCATCAAGAGCATTCTTCTTCTACAAGCTAAGCCGCAGGAGAAAGCTCATACGGAGGCCGCACAGCAGGGGAAGATCTTCACGGGGGTATGCAAGGAAATCAGAAATCGAGCTGCGTTTGGCGAGTTTATTACGGCGCAGGTCAAGACAATGAGCTTTTTGGCATATCTGCTCCGGATGTACGCGCATCAACTCCAGGACTTTCTTCCTACTCTCCCGACTGTGGTTGTCCGTCTTCTGCAAGACTGCCCAAGGGAGAAGTCCAGTGCCAGGAAGGAGCTTCTGGTGGCCATTCGTCACATAATCAACTTCAACTATCGGAAGATCTTCCTGGAGAAGATCGACGAACTCCTCGACGAGCGGACGCTGATTGGCGATGGCCTTACCGTGTACGAGACAATGAGACCGCTTGCATACAGCATGCTAGCCGACCTAATTCACCATGTACGAGATCACCTCACACGAGATCAGATTCGGCGGACGGTCGAGGTATACACGAAAAACCTCCATGACGACTACCCCGGCACAAGTTTCCAGACGATGAGCGCGAAGTTGCTTCTGAACATGGCAGAGAGGATATCCAAACTCGAGGATAAGGGGGAGGCTCGCTACTTCTTGATTATGATCCTGGATGCGATTGGTAACAAGTTTGCGACAATGAACCACCAATTTGACAACGCCGTCAAAGTGTCCACTGCGTCCAAGGAGAAGGCCGCGAAGGAGGCCGAGTCTACTTTGGAGATATACCAAGCTGAGCAGGAACAGCCCCCAGAATGGGATGAGATCGACATCTTTTCCGCACACCCCATCAAGACTTCGAATCCTCGCGATCGCACTGGTGACCCCGTGGCGGATAATATCTTCCTCTTCAAGAATCTGATCAATGGATTGAAAAACATTTTCCATCAGTTGAAGAACTGCAACCCTGACAATGTCCAGATCGACCCTGGCAGTCTTCCCATTAACTGGTCCGAGGTCTCGTACGGGTACAATTCTGAGGAAGTACGGGTTATCAAGAAGCTGTTCCACGAGGGCGCTCGCGTTTTCAAGTATTATGGCGTTGATCAAAGCCCACCGGAAATGAATTACTCCTCGCCATTCGACTTCCTTGCAAGCCAATACACAGCGCCTATGTCGCGGGAGGAGAAGGAGCTCCTGGAGAGTTTTGGTACCGTCTTCCACTGCATCGACACGGCCACGTTCCACGAAGTCTTTCATTCCGAGATCCCATACCTGCATGACCTCATGTTTGAACATGGTGCATTGCTTCATTTGCCCCAGTTCTTCCTGGCAAGTGAGGCGACATCACCTGCTTTCTCTGGAATGGTGCTTCAGTATCTCATGGAGCGGATTGATGAGGTTGGGACGTCTGATATGACCAAGGCAAAAATTTTGCTTCGGATGTTTAAGCTCTCGTTTATGGCCGTGACTCTTTTCTCCCTCCAGAATGAGCAGGTGCTGCATCCTCATGTCACCAAGATCGTCACCAAGTGCATTGAGCTTTCGGTCACTGCTGAGCAACCCATGAATTACTTCCTCCTTTTGCGTTCCCTCTTCCGCAGTATTGGTGGTGGCCGTTTCGAGCTCCTGTACAAGGAAATCCTTCCGCTGTTGGAGATGCTTCTGGAGACGTTCAACAACCTGTTAATCGCTGCGCGCAAGCCACAGGAACGTGATCTCTACGTCGAACTCACCCTTACCGTTCCTGCTCGTCTGAGCCATCTCTTGCCTCACCTCAGTTACCTCATGCGTCCCATTGTGGTTGCTCTGCGCGCGGACTCGGAGCTTGTTGGACAAGGTCTTAGAACTCTTGAACTTTGTGTCGACAATCTCACGGCCGACTATCTTGATCCAATTATGTCACCCATCATGGACGAATTAATGACAGCTCTCTGGGATCACCTGCGTCCTCATCCCTACAACCATTTCCACGCTCATACCACCATGAGGATTCTTGGTAAGCTCGGTGGTCGGAACAGGAAGTTCCTTAACCACCCGCCTGAGCTTTCGTTTGAGCAATTCGCCGACGATGCTCCGAGCTTCGATGTTAAGCTTATTGGCCCGAATGAGAGGCGGCCTTTCCCTATTGAGATCGGCATCGACTTGGCTATCGGGAAGCTCATGGAGGCACCGAAGACCACTTCTGGGAAGGACTCCGATGAGTACTACAAGCATGAAGCTTACCGCATGATAACGTCGCAGCTGAAGCTCTACATTGGCTATGAAAACCTACCGGACGATTTCGCGTCGATTCTTCGTCTCCACGCCAATGACCTCGTCGAGGGAAGGACGACGGCTGTGGCTGACATCCTGGAGAAATCTGAGCGATCTAGCTCAATCCAGAAGAAGCTGAACCAGGAGGGGCTCTTGAAGAAACTGCTTAAAGCGACAATCTTTGCTACAACAGTCCCCGAGCTTGAGCAGTCCGCGACAGCGTTTGTAACCGATGTCTGTAAGCATTTCGCCATCGTTGAGGTGGGACGAGCGCTTGCTCAGGCTAGGCACACTCGTAAGCAGTTTGATGTCTCCAGTGGAGAAGGTCCTATCTATCTCGACTCGAGAGTTCTCGCAGAAGCTGTGGTTGAGAGTCTTTCATCCGATGACGCTAGTGTCCAGGACGGAGCCCATACTGTGTTGAACGTTATGAAGGAGGCGGCCATTGTGATCTTTGGGTCACCTGAGAAGGCCTCCAAGCTGCCCTTCTTCCAGCATCTTGGCCGGGTTTTTTGCCATAGCTGTCATAGTGAGGAGTGGTTTACGAAGGCTGGAGGTAGTCTCGGCATCCATTTGTTCGCGACCAAGCTGGACTTGGGAGACTCATGGTTGTTCGATAAGCAAGCTGAATTCGTTCGTGCATTGATGTACGTTATCAAGGATACGCCATCTGACCTACCTGCCAACACGCGTTTACGGGCACGGGATACCCTTGATGTAATTCTGCGAAGATGCATCAAGCAGGTGTCCAAGGACGATTTGAAGAATGAGAAGAGCCGGTTGTTCTCCCTTTGCGGTTTCTTCGTCTATGAGTTATCGCATATGAACAGGCACGTTCGTGATGCTTCTCGACGCAGCTTCTCCACCATTGCTGATGTCCTGGGGTGCGAGGTGCATGAGCTCATTTTCCCAGTTAAAGACCGTCTCTTGCAGTCAATTTTCAACAAGCCTCTGCGGGCCTTGCCATTTGCGACTCAGATCGGTTTCATCGATGCGATCACCTTCTGCCTGGGCCTCCACAACAATATTGTCACTTTCAACGATCCCCTGAACCGCCTGATGCTTGAATCTCTTGCCCTTGCAGACGCCGATGATGAGTCCCTTGCCACCAAGCCGAACGAGTTTAAGAATGCCGATATGATCATCTGTCTGCGGGTGGCTTGTCTCCGACTACTGTCGATGGCAATGAGTTTCCCTGAATTTGCCAACACCCCGCAGAACACTAGTCGCGCACGTATAATTTCGGTGTTCTTCAAGTCGCTCTATTCCAAATCGTCTGATGTTATCGAGGCCGCGAATGCCGGGCTGAGAGATGTATTGACACAGACGAACAAGCTGCCCAAAGATCTTCTCCAGAACGGTCTCCGCCCTATACTCATGAACTTGCAAGACCCTAAGCGGTTGAGCGTTGCGGGTCTTGACGGACTTGCCCGGCTTCTGACTTTGCTCACCAATTACTTCAAGGTCGAAATCGGAGCTCGTCTTCTGGAGCACATGAAGGTCATTGCAGATGAGGCGACTTTGCAGAAGGTGTCCTTCAGTCTTGTTGAGCAGAGCCCACCGATGAAGATTGTGGCTGCTATCTTCAACATCTTCCACCTCCTTCCGCCCGCAGCTACGTCTTTCATGGAGCACCTTGTCAACAAAGTCCTGGATCTCGAAGACAAACTGCGGCGGACATCGAATAGCCCGTTCCGGAAACCGCTCGTCAAGTATCTCAACCGCTATCCGAAAGAAAGCCTAGCTTTCTTCCTAGCTCGTTTCAAGGACGAGCGGTTCGGACGGTTTTTTGGGCAGATCATTTCGGACCCGGAAAGCGAGGGGTTAAGAAATGCAGTTGTTGCCGATACTGATAACTTCACTTCAGTTGCGTTCGGGCAAGAGTCCGAGACGACTGCTGCCATCAATGGTATCTATGTCGCTCATGCCCTTTCTTGCTACCAGTCGACCAAGAAGTGGCTCGTTTCTCATCCGGATACGAGGGTTAAGATTTTGCATTCTGGCCGGGATCTTGAGAAGAAGCTCCGTGCTGATCAGATCATGGCGAGCGAGCGGTTACGGGTTGAGCAAGCAGAGGAACAGCTCATGGATATCTTCACCACTTATCTGTCGGAGTCAATTCAGGACTTGGACTTTTTGTTTGAGGTTATTGATGGCCTCTCTGCGGAGGAGTTGAAGCGTACACTGGCGTTCCCCAAGTTCATTTACCATCATATCATCACGAACGAGTCCATCGACTACAGGCGATCAGTCGTGATGCGCTGCTTGGATCTATACGGCCAGCGGTCGTGCACGCAGAAGATGAAGACGTACGCCTTCCGCAACTTGGTGAATCCGATCTTTGCCATGGACGTTCAGCTCTCGTGGAACCACCCTCAGAACACGCCCAAGCTCATGGACAAGAGTATGACTGAATCGATTCAAAGCCGTTTGTGGCGGCCTCAGTTATCCGACTTGGCTGAGGAGTCGATCCAGATTGGAGTTGACCACTCGCGTATGGAGCTGCTTCAGCTGTCCGCTTTGCTGATCAAGTACCACTCCACTACTGTGCAAGACTCTCGGAAGGATATCATCAAGTTCGCTTGGAACTATATTCGACTTGAGGATATTATCAACAAGTATGGTGCCTACGTCCTCATCAGCTACTTCATCGCCCATTACGAGACGCCTTTCAAGATCGTGATCCAGGTCTATGTTGCTCTGCTTAGGGCGCATCAGAACGAGGGCAAGGCTTTGGTTACTCAGGCATTGGACGTTCTGGCGCCTGTTTTGCCCACGAGAGTCCTGGCGGCGAACAGTGCGAGCACCACCAACAATAGCCAAGCGACGGATGCACGGTATCCTCTGTGGGCGAAGTGGCCGCGTCGCATCCTGGCCGAAGAAACTGCCAACCTGCAGCAGGTCATGTCCATCTTCCAGTTCCTGGTTCGGCAGCCAGATCTCTTTTACGAGTCGCGAGAGCATTTTGTGCCGCTCATTGTTCCTTCTCTGATCAAGATCGCTCCGCCGCTTAGCAACTCGAACGAGGCTAAGAAGCTTGCGTTGAATCTGATGAACCTTATTTGGTACTGGGAGGAGAAGAGAATGAAGAATACCACGCCCAGTGTCAATGGTAATGGTGCGCTTGATTCGCCGTCGAAGAAGCGAAAGGTCGAAGAGAACCAAAGCGCGCCGGCTTCCTCACCTGCGCTTGGTCCGCCCAGTTCTACTACTCGCGAGCGTGGAGAATACACTGTGCCTCCTGACTTGCGGGCTGCGATGACAAAGTACCTCATTACGTTTATCACGACCATCTCGGAACGGTTCCCGGTTCCCGCCGCTCGGATTCGGGATCTCTCGACGACAAAGACACAGCAGCCTGTGATGACGGGTGATATGATCAAGAAGGCTGTTTATCTCCTGAGGAACCTTTTGTCTCCCGAGCATTGGGGTGAAATTGATGTCGAGCTCTATCCGAAAGCCACAGACCCGATTCTGGCTAGTGAGAGGGCGGATAAACCCGACGAGAAGCATCTTACGCACATGGTCAATGCCCTGCAAGTTGCTCGGATTTTGCTTGCTTCAAAGTCCGATGACTGGATTGCACCTCGATTGCCGGCAATTCAGAAATTGTTTGAGAAGTCTTTGCGATGCGACAACCCGGAGATCCAGGATTGCTTGCACGGTACGGAAGAGGAAATGGATATCTTTCCCAAGTTGCCGTCGCCCGTTAAACGTGTTCTGGATTCCCTGCCGGATGATCAGCCCGAGGAAGAGGATGCCATGGATGTTGACAGCTCGCCGTCCGAGTTTGTGACCTATCTTTCGGCAATTGCGACAGAGACTCTTTCGGCAAGCAATTACATCTCGAGTTTGAATGCGTTGTGGTCGCTTTCCAAGAAGAAGCCTGCTGAGATGGATGTGCATATTCCGCAGGTTATGAAGGCGTTCTCCCAGAAACTCGCCAAGGAGCATGTTGCGGCTACTGCTAACAGTCAGGGTCAATACCCACTGGGTGTCAAGCCCGGCGAGGGGGTGCCTGATCAGCAGGAGTTTGAGATCGGAGTCGACCTCATTTTCAAGACTATTGAACTGATTTCAGTGCGCATGTCGCATCTTGGGGAGCAGCGACGTCCGTTCCTTAGTGTGTTGGCGCAGCTGGTGGAGCGATCGCAAAATGTCAAGCTTTGCAGCAAGGTGCTTGGAATGGTGGAGACCTGGGTCTTCCATTCTACGGAGTCGTGGCCGACGTTGAAGGAGAAAACGGCTGTTTTGCACAAGATGCTGCTCTTTGAGACGCGGTCTGATCAAACTATGGTCAAGAAGTTTTTGGATCTTGTTATTCGGATCTATGAGGATTCTAAGATCACGAGGACTGAATTGACGGTCAGGCTGGAGCATGCTTTCTTGATAGGTACCAGGGCGCAGGATGTTGAGATGCGGAATCGGTTCATGAATATCTTCGACAGGAGTTTGACGCGTCTTGCTAGTTCGCGGTTGAGTTATGTGATGACTTGCCAGAACTGGGATACGCTTGCCGATTCGTTTTGGTTGGCGCAGGCGTCGCATCTTGTATTGGGATGTATCGACATGACCACTTCTGCCAGGCTGCATCCGGATGATTTTACTGTTTCGTCTGTGACATTCCTTTTCAGCAGTTCGGAGAAGGATTCCAGGAAATCCGATGTTATGGTTGATAGTTCGCTGGAGGCTTTTGTTTCTGACCGCAGACGATTCCTGGCGGAGATTGGTGATGTGAAGGTCCGAGATCTGCTCGAGCCCTTGTGTCAACTTCAACATACCGACCCCGCGGTATCCCAGAAGCTGTGGACGACGTTGTTTACGGTTGTCTGGTCGACATTGTCCAAGGATGACCGGATCGATCTTGAGAAGGGAATGGTTCCTCTGATCACGCGCGAATATCACCAGCGACAGCTCGACAAGCGGCCAAACGTCGTGCAAGCCCTTCTCGAGGGGGCGGTTCGGGCCCGGCCACGATTCAAGATTCCCCCTCATGTCATGAAGTATCTCAGTCGCACGTATGATGCTTGGTACACTGCTGCGACGTATCTGGAGGAGACTGCCATTAGTCCGATAATCGACACACCAACCGTCCGCGAAAGCAATCTGGATGCTCTAGTGGAAGTTTACGCAGGGTTGCAAGAGGACGACTTCTTCTACGGTACATGGCGGCGCCGTTGCAAGTTCGTTGAGACCAATGCCGCCATTTCGTACGAGCAGCAAGGCATGTGGGACAAGGCGCAGCAATTGTACGAAAACGCACAGATCAAGGCTCGCTCTGGAGCCATGCCCTTCTCGCAGGGAGAGTACTTTCTATGGGAAGACCACTGGTTGATTTGCGCCCAGAAGCTGCAGCAATGGGAGATCCTCAGTGACTTTGCCAAGCACGAGAATCTGAACGATCTTCTCCTGGAGGCTGCTTGGAGGAATGTCGAGAACTGGCAGAGCGAAAATAACCGGGAGCAGCTCGAGTCTCTGATCAAATCGGTTTCGGATGCGCCAACGCCCCGTCGCACGTTCTTCCATGCGTTTATGGCGTTGCTTCAGTACCATCTCAAGAAGGAGAACATTCAGGAGTTCAACGGTATTTGCGACGAGTCGATTCAGTTGTCAATTCGGAAGTGGCTTCAGTTGCCTAAGCGGATTACTAACGCTCACATACCTATTTTGCAGCACTTCCAGCTTCTGGTTGAGTTGCATGATGCGAGTCATATCTGTTCTAGTCTGTCGCAAACGAATGATCGGAACCTGGATACGAAGTCTGCTGAATTGAAGCTCTTGCTGGGAACGTGGAGAGACCGCCTTCCCAACCTCTGGGACGACATCAATGCTTGGCAGGACCTTGTTACTTGGCGCCAGCACATCTTCCAACTTATCAACGCTACGTACCTTGGGTTGTTGCCTCCGCAGACGAACAATGTCGCCAGCAATTCGTACGCTTACCGGGGTTACCACGAGACCGCATGGATCATCAACCGTTTCGCGCATGTGGCTCGCAAGCACCAGATGCCCGAGGTGTGTATCAACCAGCTGAGTCGCATCTACACGCTGCCGAACATCGAAATCCAAGAAGCGTTCTTGAAGTTGCGCGAGCAGGCCAAGTGCCACTACCAGAACCAGAAGGAGCTCACCAGTGGTCTGGACGTCATCAACAACACCAACCTGAATTATTTCGGGGCTCAGCAGAAGGCGGAGTTCTATACTCTCAAGGGTATGTTCTTGGCTAAGTTGAAGTCGGTCAAGGATGCCAACGAGGCATTTGGTGTTGCTCTGTACTATGATTTGCGACTTGCGAAGGCGTGGTCTGAATGGGGTCAGTACAGCGACCATCGGTTCAAGGCTGATCCTAAAGACTACGAACTGGCGAGCAACGCTGTTAGCTGTTACCTGGAGGCTGCTGGTCTCTACAAGAACGCCAAGTCGAGGAAGTTGCTCAGTCGGATTCTTTGGATTTTGAGTCTGGATGACGAGGAGGGACGTATCGCTAGTGCGTTTGAGAACTTCAAGGGAGACACGCCGGTTTGGTACTGGATTACGTTTATTCCGCAATTGCTTACTAGCTTGTCGCATCGCGAGGCACGTCTTTGCAAGGCGGTTCTGGTCAAGATCGCCAAGTTATACCCGCAGGCGCTTTTCTTCTTGCTTCGGACGAACAGAGAGGACATGCTCAGTATCAAGAAACAGCATGATCAGAAGCAGGAGAAGTTGAACCGTGTCAGACAGGCACAGCAACAGCAACAGCAACAGCAGGGCCAGTCGCAAGGCTCGCCACAGGCCAAACCTCCCAACGGCAATACGAATGGCTCACCGGCGCAGACTTCGAATCCGAGTGCCAACGCTAGTCCGGTTGTGAACGGTCAGCCGATGGCCAAACAGCCATCGCAGAGCCCGGCTCAACCTCAACAGCAATTGCCGCAACAAGGCCAACAATCGACTCCGAACCCAGGTCAGATGCAGCCTCCTCAAGGTATCCCGGGTCAGCCTCCGGTTCCGGGACAACAACAACAGTTCCAGCAACCGCCAGTTCCTGGACAGAATGGCGCGCAACCGCAGAACCAGGGTACTGGTGCAGAGCCAGAAAAGGAGCCGCTTAAGAAGCCGTGGGAGTATTCGGATGAGATCATGTCTGGTCTCAAAACTGCTTTCCCGTTGCTTGCACTGTCGATGGAGACGATGGTCGATCAGATCCACAAGAACTTCAAGTGCCCGCCCGACGAGGACGCGTACCGTCTTATCGTCGCTCTTCTCAATGATGGTTTGGCGTATGTTGGCCGCATGCCAGGGTCGTATGCTCAAGATTTCAAGCTGCCTCCCGCGACCGAAGCCAACATCACGCGATTTGCTGAGACCATCTTGCCCGCGCATATTCGCAAGTCGTTCGAGGTTGACTTTGTGGTCAAGAAGCCGACTATGTACGAGTACATCCAGAAACTGCGTCGCTGGCGTGACAAGTTCGAGGAGAAACTCGACCGGCGACCTCAGTTCCAGTTCCTGGAGAGCTACTCGCCGCATCTCAGCGAATTCCGATTCCTCAAATTCGACGAGGTCGAGGTACCGGGCCAGTACTTGTTGCATAAGGACAAGAACCAGGATTTCGTCCGCATTGACCGTTTCTTACCGGACATTGATCTGGTGCGCGGTATTGGTGTCTGTCATCGTCGTCTCAAAATTCGCGGCCATGACGGTAGTATTCATCCATTCGCTGTGCAGCATCCTGCGGCCCGTCACTGTCGTCGCGAAGAGCGGATCTTGCAGTTATTCCGTATCTTAAACGGACTGCTTGGTAAACGCACGGAAAGTCGGCGACGCAACTTATACTTCCACCTTCCGCTTATGGTTCCTTTGGCTCCTCATATCCGGCTGGTTCGCGATGATCCGTCGTATATCTCCATGCAAGGCATCTACGAGGATTACTGTCGTCGTGTTGGCATCAATAAGGATGAGCCGGTGCTGTTTACTATGGAGAAGTTGAGGTCGTTGGCAGAGACAAAGCACAACGTGAGTATTGTTCCTTTCACACTAAGGTATAATGTGACTAACGCTTTCCAGCGCAATGCCGATCAACAACAAGTCTTGCGCACTGAAATCCTCACGGCCATTCAAGAGAAGTGGGTTCCCAGTAACGTGGTGCTGGACTTCTTCCAGCAAATATACCCCAACTTTTCCGATTTCTGGCTCTTCCGTCGCCAGTTTGCCTTCCAGTACGCTGCTATTGCGTTCATGACATACGTGATGCACATGGGCAACAGATACCCCAACAAGATCATGATTTCGCGCTCGACCGGCGACATCTGGGGATCTGAGTTGATTCCTACCATCAACCCAGCCAAAGCCTTCTTCTACAACCCCGAGCAAGTTCCGTTCCGCTTCACTCCCAACATCCAGACATTGTTGGGCCCGATTGCCACTGAAGGTGTCTTCGCCTGTGCGATGATGGCAATTGCGCGCTGCCTGACAGAGCCGCGCCACGAACTGGAGCAGCAACTGAGCATTTTCGTCCGTGACGAGATGATGTACTGGGCTACGGCGCAACATCGCGGTGTGCTTCCCGTGCCACAGCTTCGGGACTTGGTCTACAACAACAGTGAGATTATCGTTAATCGCGCTGTTAGCTTGGCCAGTCCGCCTGAGGGCAACTTGCCCGCGAACCAAACTACGATTGATTTGATTTCGAAGGCTGTGAACCCGCAGCACTTGGCGACTTGTGATGCTTTGTGGATGCCATACCTGTAATCTGCGCTTCTTTTGTGTTTCTTGTATTCCAATTTTCTGTATTGCTCATGAGGCGTTTTATTTGCATTTTCGGGTTTAGCCATTTGATGAATGACTTTCAGTTTTATGGCGCTGGGTGATTTGCTTTGCTTACTTATGAGGATATTAGTTATAGATATCTCTATTTGTCTTATTCGAATCCTGTATTCAATCTAGCCATTTGTTTTTTTTTTTTTTTTTTTTTTTTTTTTTTGACTCCGGTTGATGTACAGTACATAATGCCATAAATCTTATTATTCAACGTTGCTAGATTGTGTAGCACATAGTGCTGTAAATGCATGTCCTGTACCAAACGCCAAATTCCAAACATTATATACCATGAATATAGTCAGGAGAGCGTGAGTCTATACGAGGGATTGCTTCTTCTTGATCCCGAGGCTGTTTGCCAAAGGCTTCTTTGGCTTCTTGACTCTCGCGAACGAAGGTGGTGGCATATCCGGCTTCTTCTCCGGAGCAGCAGTACTCGTCGACGGCCCATCCTCCTCGACAATCCTCTTCACCTTCTCCCCCGACTCCGTCATGAAAGCCTTCCTCGCAGCCTCCTCAATCTCCTTCTCCTCTTTCTCCTTCGCCTCATCCACAACATCCCTAACCTGCGCTATCGCCGTCTCATCCCCAATCGTCTCATTCCTCTCAATCCGCGCATTCCTCGTCCGAATCTCATCCAACGCATCCGCAATCGCCATCTCCCTCTTCGAATCCAACATCTTCGACTCCAACTCCGCCATCTTATCCCTCTCCTCACGCTCATGCTCCTCATTCTCCTCCCTCTCCAACCGATCCAGCGTCTCCTGCTCCGTCTCATGGTAATTCTCCGCCTTGGCGTCCCGCCAGGGCTCGAAGTTCCGCTTTGCGCCGCGCTCGCACGTGTAGTCCATGTTCTTGGGGTCTGTTTTGAAGGTGATCTCGCCGGAGCAGCGGGTGCAGCGGATGTAGAAGCGGAAGACGGGGATGGCGAGGTATTTCTCTTCGGTAGTTTCTTTGCGCGCGTTGAATTTGCGGCCTTTGTAGATGTATTCGCCTTCACCCATGTTAGCATTTTCATTTTAGCGATAAAGGGGAAAGGGGAAGGGGGACTTACCACATGAGGTACATTTCATCGAAAAGGGTGCCATTAATCGAACGGTGATGACTTTCGGGCCCGTTGAGCGCAAGTGCTTCGGCTTGCGGGAGATCGCGGACGGATCGAAGTCCGGGGGGTAGTATTTGGAGAGGACTTTTCGCTCAGACATGGTGAATGTGTTGTTTTAGTATAGGGACTGAAAATAAAGAGTTGGATGGTGGTGGTGTAGTTGCCGATGGCGACTTTGCGATAGATATCGGTGTCGGCGATAAAGTCACGTGAGATATAACTGGCATTTGCCTCAGGCAGTAATGAATTGTTGTTTTATGTCGGACATGAGGCATAAGGCATAAATTGAGTCCTGATATACATTCCACCTTATACCTAGCAATCGGCACTCATACAACTATATCAATTTTGCGACGACCGCACCTGTTCCTGCCATTGTCAGAGGCAGTTTCCCGATGGGGAAGCGTGCACGTGCCAATTCGACGCGCCGTTCGGAGCGAACAAAATAAGCAGCGTATTTGTTTGTCTTTTCGTTGCTGCGATAGACAACGGACGAGGACTGCACGACGAGCTTTTATCTCATATCTATTACAATTGGGTATTCGTCCCTTACCGTCTCCCTCGAAAAAAACAGCAGTGGAAGGCTCGTCTTCGCGTCGACGAGGGAAGCTGTTTCTCACTCATCTCCGTCGCTTCTGCCCCTCCTCATGTCTGCAATCGCGACAACTTGACAATTGGATATCTTACAAGCTTTTGGAATTGAAAGTCGTCGAGTCTAGCACTTGGCCATGGAGAAATTCCTGCGCTCCTGGCGTCAGGATGCGCTGAACCGCGGACAGCATGATGCGGCCATCTACATCGGCGACAAAGTGCTTGCGTTGACCAGTGAGTGGCCAGAAGACATACAGTCGCATATGGTTTGGACACTAACGGTCATGGTCATTCGATAGACAGCGACTCCGATGCCTTCTGGTTAGCCCAGGTCCATTTCTCCAATAACAACTACACGCGAGCCCTGGCCCTCCTGTCCCGGAAAGACCTTATCTCGAGAAGCACCGCCTGCCGTTACCTCGCTGCCCACTGCCATATCAAACAGAACCAATTCGAACAAGCATTATCGGTACTGGGCGACCATAACCCAACCCACTTGATTCGCAATACCACCAGCCGTCGCAAGATACAACACCTCAATGGCCAGAGCCATGTCACCCTGCGCAATGGCAAGTCTGCTGCCTCACGTGGTGAACGCGGCGAGGACCGGGAACGGGAGGATGCAAACAATATACGCTTTGAGGCGGCCATGTGTTATTTGCGGGGACTGTGTTTTGCTAAGCAGAATGCTTTTGACCGTGCCCGTGACTGCTACAAGGACGCTGTGCGCATCGATGTCCAGTGCTTCGAGGCTTTCGACCAGTTGATGAAGAACTCGCTCATGTCGCCAGCAGAAGAGCTTGAGTTTCTCGAGTCTCTTGATTTCGACTCTATATCTGGGCCAGATCCGTCGTTAGCCCAGGAAGCGGCTCACTTTACCAAGATGCTCTATACTACTCGTTTGTCCAAGTATACGTCCCCGGCTATTCTTACAGATGCTACGGAGACGCTGTCGACACACTATAATCTCGCTGAGAATCCGGATATCCTTCTGTCGCGAGCGGAGGCTCTCTATACGCAGTGTCGATTTGCGGAAGCTCTCGAGCTAACTTCCTCTGTTTTGTCAACTCCGCAGTCGACTCCGGGCTCATCAACAACAGTGATTGCTGCGTCGAACCTACCAGCTCAGAACCATCTAGGACATCCTCCAGCAGTCTACCCGTTGCATCTCGCCTGCTTATACGAAACGGGTGCTACAAACGCGTTGTTCCTTCTCGCTCATACGTTGGCTGACCACGCTCCGGAGGAGTCGTATACTTATCTAGCCATCGGTGTTTACTACTTGTCTGTATCCAAAGTTGCGGAGGCACGACGCTTTTTCTCCAAATCATCTCTACTCGACCCGCATTCAGCACCGGCGTGGATTGGCTTCGCTCACACTTTTGCTGCGGAAGGGGAACATGATCAAGCTATTGCCGCATACAGTACAGCTGCTCGGTTATTCCAAGGCAGTCACTTGCCACAGCTGTTCCTTGGAATGCAGCATCTAGCTTTGAACAACATGTCCCTGGCCCACGAATATCTCTGCGCCGCCTATGCCATGTCGACAGGTGCTGCATCCGGATCAGTTTCATCTGTCCCCATAAATCCAACTAGCGGGTCGGCTCCATTGGGTGGTGATCCGTTGGTTCTAAACGAGCTAGGTGTTGTTTTGTACCACCAAGATGAACTCGAAGGGGCCGTCGAGCTGTTCCGGCAGTCGCTCGCCCTGGCCAAGTCCCTTCACTGCGAACCAGGAGCCTGGGTGGCCACTCGAGCAAACCTTGGCCATGCACTGCGTCGTCTTCAACTCAATACAGAAGCTCTGGATGAGTTCGACGAGTGCCTCCGCATTGGGGCAGGGGGTGCAAGCATGGGTTATACTCCGTTTTTGGGTGGCAATGGTGGTAGTACTCCCGGTGTATCGTCATCAGGTGTCGGGGGATACGAGGACCGTGGACTAATTGGCTCGCTATATACCTCTCGAGGCTTGGTCTTGCTGGAACTTGGACGTACGATGGAGGCCGTGACGACACTTCACGAGGCGGTCCGTGTTCTAGGGGCCAGCGGTGGCGGGGATGCGGCTGGCGGCGCTGGCGTTGCTGGAACACTCCTTTCTCGCGCTCTTGAAATATGGGCATTGGACAATCATGCAAAGGATGAAGCATTAGCAAGACAAGAAATGTCGAGAACACCCGCTAGCCGGAGCTCTCGCTCACTTGCTAAAGGAAAGGAAAGACTTGCGTCCGCAGAACCCGTGAGACGGCGAGGGGTATCGCATGACCAACTTTCCGAGGATTGGACCGACGAAGTTTCCCAGGTCGAACCATCTGTTGCAGCATCCGAGACAATGGAAGATAAGGTCGAAATGGAACTAGATGAAGAGGCCGATGGTCTACTACAGCAAGCACTGAGTTGTGTACGAGGTGGACGATCGAGACATCTAAGGGCGATCAGCAGTCCGATAGGAGAAGTTGACGAAACACCTGTACCGGCGGTCAGCCGCAGTCGAAATCCGAGGACTGTACGGGGTAATACCAGACATTGATAGGCTTAGACGGGAGGATACGACGTGTTAGATTGCTGTTCTTCTACTTTCCTTTTGGTTTGAGATTGGTTGACGAGACTGGGTGCATATGCATTGCGAATGGCGTTTTGGATCGGCCGTGCTATGGGAGGGTCGTTTTGCCTTATTCTTTTTGGTCTGATATCCCATGGGATTGATTGCATTGCATCAGAAGGTGTATCTTGTTTCTTCTTGTTTCTTGTGTTTGGCCGTTTGATACTCATACAGAAGCAAGAATTTTGACATTGGCTTTTCTTTATACATTCCCTGCAAACAACATATACTGTTGTTTCTCCAAACACATTAAAACTCGAAAACGACGTCGCCTACGTGCTAGGGCGGGCATCCCAAGATGGTAAGCCAAACCATCAGCCTAAACATCACCCCAGCTCTACAGGCATACCCTAACAGAAACAGTAATCTGCTTCGACGGCTGGAAAATCTACGCCCCCGAAGTCGAGGCAGAACTCTCCTGCCACCCCCTCATCCTCCAACCCATCGTCCTCAGCATATCAGACCCCGAAACCCACCAGCGAGTCGCAGCATTGCTCATCCTCAAAGATCAAGATCAAAGCACATCACAGAATCTAGACCTCGAATCTCTGCGTCGGTGGCTGTCCAATGGCCGGAAACTAAACAAGTACAAACTCCCGGCTGTTTTGCGAGTTCTGCGGCCTGGTGAAAATGTTCCAGTCACTGCTTCGAATAAGCCGATGAAGGGGAAAGTTAGGGATGTATTCTTTGGTGAGAGGGAGGAGATTGGGGCTGGGGATGTTGAGGTTTTGGATCTTGGTGTTGAGGAGGGGTTTGAGGAGAGGCCGTTTGATTGGGCTAGGGTTCAGGCTGGTTGAGGGGTGGAAATATTGGTATGCTTGGGATTGGGTTCGGTTAGTTATTTAGGTTTCTATTACCATGTGGTTTGTTTGGTATTTCTAGAGATTCGGTGAATTGTTGTAGGGCTGGGGTGTTGTTGGCTAATTTCTGTTTACGGACTAGACACCATCATGATTACAAAGTCTTCAGCTCCCAAAACATCGAGTGCAAGAGACTTTCGGCACAGAAAAATTGACATCCGATGATCGATAAACTGATGTGTCTCAGGATGCTCTTGTGAGTCTCGGCCATATTGTAATCATTGCGCAATACCAGAAAGGTTGCTAATCTGATACATACTCTATCAGGCGCATAAGCGAGCATACTATGAATAAAAATGGATATTCCTACAGTGGCACCAACACCAAGAGAAACAATTGATAATGGTCTGATCAGTGCGATTGCTAGGCATACTTATCGGATCTACATGTGGACCTCATCTTGTTTATGATGTCTCGATTTGCGTGGGTGTTCTTGACTGCTTTGGTCCCAATTAGTGCAATTGTCGTTTGCCAACCTCCTTTCCCCTGTACAACCTGCAGGTCCCCGGTATTTCCTTGGTTTCTAATTCGTGCATACCATGCTTTTCTAATTCCCCGACGCAAGATTGGAGAAAATTATTTGCATGGTGGTCAGTCGGGATTGGAATGGATGACGAATTCTTCCGCCGAAAGAGCAATTCTGACAAGTCTTCCTTGTCTCTGATTACGTCGTCGTCAATTTGTGATATGGATCAGCACTGCTTGTACGAGGGTGAAGTTTGTTGTGGAAGTACTGAGTGTGAAATTCCTGCATGCCACGCACAGTCTTCATGGCTTGACCCAGACGCTCTGGAAACGTTCTTGCGGAACCCACGAAAGGTGCCGACGATTGACTGTCGAAAAGCTTGTTGCAATGGATCTGCGCGTGAACGTGGCTTTCCAAAAGTCCAGGGTCTTTATGTGGGTGCGATGTAGGACATGCTTGTTTGAGATTTCTGTTGCCTCCCTCTTCATGCGATACAGCCACGCAATAACTCTCGCAAGGGGGGTGCACCGTTCAGTGGGTACACGATGCTATCCCTTCCCAGCATTCAAGCACGGTGTTTTGATTCAAAAGTCTGGAAATGTCTCGAAGAAATTCTGTTCAGAGAACAGCCACGAACCTCAACAAGCGACTGTGTTTTGTCGCGCCATAATGTATACCAAGAACGAAGAAACTCACCTCCATGTTCTACCACAGCCACGGGAAGATGACGAGGCAAACTTCCCACCCGAAGATCTGTCATCGCTCGATCAGTACCCAGACGGCGGGTGGCGCGCATGGCTTGTCGTTCTGGGTGCATGGTGCGCCTTAGTACCTGCATTCGGGATCGTCAACACTATAGCAGTGCTTGAGGAGTGGCTGTCTGAACATCAGTTGAAAGATCACCCCAAGTCGTCGGTGTCATGGATCTTTAGCCTATGGATTTTCTTCTTCTATCTAGGGGGCGTTCAGGTTGGTATGCTTGTTTCGCCATCATCCCGACGCGGTTTGGCGTTTATGTAAATTCCGTATGTTCTGTATGCTGATTTATTGCGGCCAGGGCCTATATTCGATGCCCACGGGTTGAAGCCTTTGCTTATTCCAGGATGTATTGGGATCGTGGTATCGCTCATGATACTGAGTGTTTCTACTGGTAGGCAATGCATACCATATCGAATCCTGCACAGAAGCTAACTTCAACAGAATTCTATCAATTCATTCTCGGCTTTAGCCTTTTAGGAGGGGTCACTGCATCGATGGTATTCACCCCCAGTCTCGCCGCCGTCAACCATTGGTTCCTGCATCGCAGAGCCTTGGCAAACGGCTTCGCCAACACTGCCGGAAGCATTGGCGGCATCATCTTCCCGCTTATGGTAGGAGATCTTAGCGAGAAAGTGGGCTTCCCCTGGGCAATCCGGATCATGGGATTCGTCTGCGCCATCTTCTGCATCGTCTCCACCCTCCTCCTGCGAACTAGACTACCACCCAACAAAGAGGGCGGAAGCACCATCGACCTACGCGCACTGTGCGATGTACGCCTAACCACAGTCGCAGGCGCAATTGTCCTCGTCGAAATCGGCTACCTCATCCCCATGACCTACCTAGTCTCCTACGCCACCTCCCACGACGTCGACGGCTCTCTCTCCTACCAACTAATGGCCATCCTAAACGCAGCCTCCATCTTCGGCCGCGTTATCCCAGGCTACATAGCAGACCAATGGGGCCGCTTCAACGTAATCATCGTGACAACCTTCGTCTGCACGATCCTGATCCTCGTCCTGTGGCTGAAATCCGGCACCAACGCGCCCGCCATCGTCAGCTTCGCGGCGTTCTTCGGTTTCTGGAGCGGGACGGCGGTTAGTCTTGCACCCGTGTGCGTGGCGCAGATCTCCAAGACGGAGGAGTATGGGAAGAGGTATGGGACGACGTATTCGCTGGTGAGTTTTGGGTCGTTGGTTGCGATTCCTGTTGCGGGGGAGATTTTGAAGGCGCAGAATGGGGATGTTAAGCGCGAGACGAATTATTCGGGGTTGATTGTTTTTGCGGGGGTTGCGTATGGGGGGTCGATGTTGTTTTTTATTATTTCAAGGGGGGTTAGTGGGGGGTGGAATTTGAAAAAGATTTTCTAACTTTTGGGTTTTGTGGTTAGATTGGGTAAGTAGATAGGGTTGGTTAACACATAGACTGCAAATTTTACCTTATACCCCTTTTTTCGTCGAACTACTTTGAACTCATATGTTCTCTATAGAGACGGCAATTTGAGGTTGAGCCTTGATATGAAACAATAGGCCCTATGTCCACTCACAGACGCTTAGATTTCATGTTCTCCAAGTCCATGAATTTACTACTGCGAGTTGCATTCCCCTTAAGAAAATTCAGGGGAAAAGAAACTCGCCATGAACTTTCATACAAGCAAGTATAGAGAGCCTTGCAATATTCCCAGATACCAACCTGCCTGTTTCCAGCCCACTATAGCAAGAATGTGGGCTGGTTTGATCGACCCGGTATCTGGTAATGAGCTTCGGTAAGGGCAGTCGTGTTTGAATTCAGGAGGGAGATGCAATTGCGGCGGAGATGAGAACCAATCGTTGAATGCTTTGGTGCTCGTGAAAGGACCGGCTTCTGGCTGGAATCGGAAAACAAGATCTAGAAGACGCGTGATTCAACTACTTGTCCAAGCACAACAATATTCTAAACGACACCGTACTTTACATCCGGCATGAAGCAGCCAATATGGTTGAAACAAACTTGGTACTTGTTGAAGCAAAGCGTAAGGCATTGGTGGGCTGGTTAAAGCCAGATGATGGTATAAAGTTGGAAAATGAATTTCACGCACTACCCACAGCTACAAAACCGAGGTTCCGCATGGAAACCCCGACTATGCGCCGTGGTACAGTGCATTCGACCCCTTTAACCTTGAATTTGGATCTTCCGGACTCACTAACCGTCTCTTTACGGCGACAGACAAGTCCACAAAGCAACTCGGTTTGTCAATGATCAAACAAAAATAGGGCCCTAAGTTTGATCTTAACCCGGGGGTGCAAAGATTGGCCCATCCCCACTCAAACCGAGACAGGGATTTCTCCGGCGAATTGCACAGATGGAAACATTGAACAAAGGCGATGCAATTATGCCTTTTACTTATTTACTGTCTCAGTGGGACCAGGAAGATAGCGGCAGACGTCACGAAAGACGTAATAGTTCCGGTGCGCTATTTGTGTAAACACTATTCGGAGAATGGCAGAGGCCTGCTTCTCGCGGCAGAATCGAATCGTTTATTGATATGGATAACTAATTCTAGAATAAATAATAATATTGTTTTACTATACAGATTTTTCGTAACGGGCAGAAGACTCGATAGATGGATGATTATGGAACGGAGAAAAATAGAAAGAAAAACATATTAATGCTTATAAAAGGTTGCTTTGTACTCAGCATGGATTCGATGCTTAGTCCGGGGGGGAGTCGAGAAAACTCCTACTAACTCAACCAACACACGCACGCAACGTGTTGTAGTTCGGCGTATTCATCTCCTATAGTACTCGTTTGAGCCACCTCCCAATCCGAGAGATTGTTAAATCCCATACAGCCCAGCATCACGTACG